CTGGAAATATCTGCTTGGGAGGCTAAACCACCTACCAGCAGGATAGCCATCTTGTCTGAATTAAGCCTCTATTGGCCCTGGATTTATTAGATTTGCTGGCTGCAGATCTATTCCTTCAAATCCAGATCTTTGCAACTGCACCATCAGTATGGTTTAGCTGAGATTTAGCAAAGACCTGAAGGGTAGCAATGTTAGACTGTTGCAGCAAAACCAACAGTCTTTTGGCACCCCAGACACTAACACATAATTTGTTAGAATTGGTGCCAAGAAGTTTCTTTATCTAACAAACTCAATGTGATAAAGGAATTTTTTTGTCACCATCTTTTTCTTTGTTAAAAGCAGCAGGCCTGGGGTGGGAGGAGAAAGGCAGGAACAATACGAGTATGCATCTTGCTTATCTACTGCAGATAATAAGTGGGGGTGCGTTAAATAAGGCTAACCCAGAGAAAAGGGGTTATGTCACTCTTTGCTAGTGCTATGGTTCCAATCCATACTGCTTCTGCCAATTTTGCAGCTGTATGTAATCAGGTGATTCAGTTCTCAGCACAGGTGGTTTCTACTGTGAATAACTCAAACCATTTTGAATAGTGCAACAGAAATTAGAACACTGTTATATATTGGGTAGTATTTGTGATTCTTTTGGTAAGTAATGCCCAAGACATCAGTAAATATAACTACCAACCTATGGTGCACTTCCTCCTGCCATTCCCTAAGATGTAGACACACCTCAAAATAGAGACATGCCTGATCAGGAATCTGTAGATTCTAGCTTAACAGGTATTTCTTGTATTTATTACCATTACCACTAGGTGGCATTGAAAACACTGAAGTCCACATTTTCAAAAGTAGCTGCTTACCTTTGGTTCAAAGTGTCATTTGTGACAAAAATGTTTACCAGGCTAATGCTGCAATCCTATACACACTTTCCTAGGCGTATGTTCTACTGAATCTGATGGCATTCTGAGTAGCACTATAATAGGTAGCACTATAATTCAACCAGTGTTGAGTGTCCTTCATGAAAGAAATGCTGGACTTTACATTTCTTTGCCAACCAAAGATGGATGGAGAGTATCCTCCTTGTTTAGAGCCAAAGGTTCTGAAATAATGAATACATAATAATTATGCAGTGAGTGCTAAGAACAGAGTCTTAGGTCCATTTTCCCTCCTTGTTAAGTGGTGAAAAGGATGTTTAGATTCAGGTTGTATCTAATCTTGGTGTACACAGTGGCCCTTGTGGCAAAACTCAGACTTGGACCAGGATAGCTGAAGGATGGCCTGCTCCCATATGAAGGCTTTCCAAGGCCCAAGTCTGAGCATACCTAATGCCTTCTAAGCCAATGCAAGTGGTGACACAAGATAACCTTTTGTGATATGGCACCTCATCTCTGGAATCCCCCTTTAAACAACTTTTTAATGGACCTCTTTGCAACTATTATACAACTGGGATTTCAATTACGGTTAGCTATCTCAAGACCCCTTGAACTGAGAGGTGTGATCTATATGTATTCTAAATATTTAGAATATAAATAGGAAAAAATGAATATATAGGTACTTGCTGTCATATTCTCTGTGCTGAATAAATTTTCAGCTGACATGTACTTGTAAAATGCTGTGACAAGCCCAAATAACTGCCTGGAGAGTATCTTTAAAAGTGTATCAGTGAGTAAATGCATCTAATGTCGTTTGTGACAGTACAGTGTAGTGTAATTCTTTACTGATGTCTGCCCAATGTATTTATTTTCTATACTACCTAACAGCTGAAGCTCAGGCTTTTTTTCCCCTCACAAACTGGCACAAGTGTAGAGAAGTCAGGCCAGCAACCAACTGATTCCTCCCGCAGCCCCCAATGGGCCAATAACGCTCCCCCAGCCCTTCTGTGGACTAGATGACTACACCTAGGGAAAGGCTGGAGGTAGACTGCCCTGTACTCATCCCCACTGGTATAAGATCAGCAAAACCAGTAGGCTTCAGCACAGGTGGGCAACCAGCAGCCCTATAAGCTGTTTTCTTGACCTACAGCTTTCCTCATTTCTGACCATTAGCCCTGTTGGCTGGGACTGATTGGAATTTGAGTTCATCAATGCATGAAACTTCCTGCCTCTGGTTTATAAATAAGGTGTACTACATAAATTGTAGTGAGTGTCTGGAGCACTCACAAAACTGGCACCAGGCCTGAAAATAAATATTACAAAAACATCATCTAGCTCTGGTGTGGTTTTTTTCACCAGAAAGTAAAAATATGTTTGTATTTTAAAGCTATTGCCAGCATCCCAGTGGGAAGTCCTGCCCTATGTTAGTTTTGATCATAAATGGTTGCCTTTGCTATTTTTAAATAGGGTACTTTCTCAATTATTGTAGATTTTTAACGTAGTTTCAGGTGTCCATGGATGCAGTGCACCACCATAAATTTAGCAAGCACATCTCAATCCTATTTGATTAGGTTCAAAAAGGAAAAGGGATCAACAGGGATCAATTAAAAATGCATCCCAGGTTCCAGTGGGTTTATCTTTTAATGTGTGTTTCTCAGTGGAGGAAGTGTTTTGCCCCATTACTTTAGCTCATCAAACTTTCAGTATAGAAATATCTGTTAATGGAAACTCTTACGACTAATTTTATTTCCTAAAAACATATTTCTCCTTATCAAAGGTATCTGTTAAGGATGTCTGATGCCTCCATCTGATTTCTTGTAGAGAAAGGTGCTGTGTGCACCTCTCACAGCATCTTATCAGTTCTGCCCTTAAAGTAATCCCCGCATACCCTGCAACTGGTGGTGGTGGTGGGGTGGGGTGGGGTGGGGTGGGGAATCTGTTTGGTTGCTGCTGCTGTCTGAAGTAAGGGTTGCCATTCAGGAGATAGTAATTCAGGCTTGTTGAAGAGTTGTCACCTTTTCTCTTTTTTTCAATTGGTGGTGGGATATATACATATATTTCCTAATGGAATCTCTTCATGTAGATGTTAGTGAATGGGGATGCTTTAGATAAGGACTACAGCTCACAAAACCATTTTTACTGTTTCCTCTATTTGGAGGAAGAGATGGACTAACCAAATTATGAACCTGAGGAAGAAAAGAAATTAGCAAAGTGCTTTAATAGTATTTCCCTCCTTGAGCCACTATTCCCTAGTAAGTGGACTTCCCACCCATACATGCCATAATTCTCTACAGAAAACTGGGGTGAGCAGATCCTTCTTCACTGATAGATGGCAATATCTTTTCAACTCAAAGAAAAGTTACAAGAGGTATTCCGCTCACTTACTTACCTTGGGGCAATTGTAATCCATTTATTTGCAAGACAATCTATTACAGCTAATTTCAGGCAAGCAAGACTACAAGCCAGCCAGCCAGCCAGCCAGCCCCTCTCTCTCTCTCTCTCTCTCTGATATAGTGGAATATTGAAATACAAACAAAATGAGTAGATCATAGTTCCACAGGGCATATAATATTTTCAATTTGTACTCCATCTGCTCTTCATTAATGTATTCTGAGAAAGAGTAAAGGATCAGGTTTGCAACTTGGCCAAAATTCTCACTTGAGTCTCAAGTGGACTTGATAGCCAGGAGCACCTTCCTTTAGCTGTGGCTAATTTATCAACTTAAACGGTATCTTGACAGACAAAGCTTGGCCACAGTCATTCAAGCCCTGTTAACATCCTGGTTGGACTATTGCAACATGCCGTAGTGGGGCTGCCTTTGAAGACAGTCCAGACACTCCAACTGGTTCAAAATAGGGATGCGCAATTGCTAACAAGAACTAGTCTACAGGTCCATATTACCCCAGTTTTATATCATCTACACTGGCTACCAGTGGAAGTCTGGGCTCAATTTAAAGTACGTACATATAAAGTCCTAAACAGCTTGGGTCCTGGTACCTGAAGGATTGTCTTCTCCCATATGTAGCTACCCATCCTCTAAGATTGAGTGAGGAGATCCTTCTTAAAGAGCCATCCCCCAAAAAGGTAAGGGAGATGGGCCTCTCTCTCATTCGACCCTTACAGGAAGGGCCTCTCTCTCATTCCACCCTGCTTCTGGAATAGGCTCCCTAAAGTTGTGTGCCTGGCACCATTACTGTTATCATTTGGCACCAGGCAAAATGGTGCCAGTTATTTTAATAGTTACTTGTTTTTAACCTAACCTTATTCCTGATTTATAGTTTGCTTTCAGTTTAAATTATTTAAAATTTGTATGTAAATAAATTTTGTTGAACTATGTTTTTATATTTTAGATGTGTTGTTGATGTTTCAGTACTATTACTGTTACAATGTTATGTTGTTTTAATTGTTGTAAGCCACACAGGGAGCCCAAGTGTGGGCTGTTGTAGCAGCATATAAATTGAAATAATAAATAAGAGGGTGGAAATGCATCTTTATGACTGCATCTACAAACAGTTCCCAAACTATAGTGTGGTTGAAGTTAAGGAACTCACAGGTACTAAAGGTGTACAGATTAAAGTTTATACCATTTCAGTTATTTTTATGAAAAGGGCTTCAGGCACAGCTAAGCCCATTGAAACAAATGCATAAGCCCAGCAGACTTGGCATAGGATCATACTTCAAACTGCAAATGCTAACTTTGGCTGCAGTTATATACATTTTCTTGGGGAAATATTCAAAGAAAACATGCAGGATTGTGCTGTTCTCCCAAGTATTAAATAGGTGAGGTTGCAGGAACAGTAATTCTGAATTTGCACTCTGTAGGTCAAATATCTGATATGCATAACTGTACAGACCTATCTGTATTCTAGGAAATATATTGTGGAATAAATATATTGTGGTACAAAGTGTGACTAGAACACACTTGGTCAAATACAGGTGCATACAGGCAACATGAAAACCCACATTCAAAGGCTGAGTATGAGCTAAATTTGGATTGTTGTTGAACCATGCATTTGTTCAGGAACCATAGGATACTGTGTCATCTGAATTCAGGTAGGATAACAAATTATGGTGAACAACTTATAGGCCAGGTTTGTTTTACATCACAAAGAAGCTGTGGTGATTCCTTACCCTTGTTGGTCTGTCATGCTGTCTGGACCCAGTCATGGCATCTCTGCATGGTAACTTTAGTTTCCTGAAACCACAAAGAAAATCAACAGTCAGCCAAAAATCCATGTACCGTGAAAGCAGTGCAGGGTTGTTTGGCATATATGCGGACCCAGCCATAATTTGCAATCCAGTAACAAGCCTTGGGTTCTCTTAATGGATTGGTTATCCATCAAGCACATCTGAGTTCAGACAACACAATGACCCATGTTTCAACAACAACCATGGTTCAACAACTGACATTTAATGCTTGAGTATGTGTTATCTGAAGTGGTCACCATAGTGAGTAGTTCTTTATTCCCTGGGTACAAACAGCAGTTAGAAAACAAACCAAACAAAAATGTTGAGGCCAAATACCTACTAATGCAAGGGATAAATTCATACAAAATCCAGTCACAGTGGATATGGATCCTGTAAGCCAATGCAATAAGGATCTAGTCTTTATCTTATTTATTTACTTTATCCTGGATAAAGCACAATATTTTGATCTAAACTGCTAGATGCAACATAGTGTTACAGACTATTGTCTAAAGTGAAGAGAGTACCTTTCAATAAATGCTGAAAAATAGATGTTGCTTTAATGCCATTAATGGCCCATCAGGTTAATCTTGATGTAAAATTCCATTGTGGAAAGTACAAAAGTACACATCATACCTTCCACGGTGGGATTAAACTGAATACTTCATGCAATTTGGGATTGTGTCAGGAAAAGAAACATCAGATACATGATTTGGAACTGAATAAATAAGGGTGAAGGACAAGAGTTGCTTTTAGGTGAGGAGGACAGTTGCTTTTGAAAGTAGATCCTGCTTTGGCTCTAATAATGCTTACCTATGTGCCTACATACTCAGTATCTGTTCCTCTAGTTACAAAAATACCACAGAAACACTACAAGTATCACTGGAACTATCTAGCACTTGGAAGAGTAAGTAGCTTGGAAAAGATTTTTACAAAAGGGTAGCCATGTAATGTATTGCAGCAAAAACAAAGTGTTTTGAAACCTTAAGTTCAAACAAATTTATTCTGGTATAAACTTCTGGGGTCACTGCCTACTTCTTCAGATGCATGTTAATTTAATATTCATTTGGTAGACAGCCCAAGTTTAATCTCATTGACTCAAAAATTAATCTCAGTGAGGTCAATGGGACTACTTGGTATCCTGCTCAGGAGAGCAGTCAGAACATGTTTTAAAATAATATACACACAGACTGCATTCACATGAAAAGGTTGATGTTCCTGTCTTGGTATTACTTAGGAAAGTGTGACTATTCAATTATTATGTATTCTTTTGAAAAACTGGTTATTTTCCATAGAAAGGAGAATAATCTGTGTAGATAGAAAATTATATATCTGAATTTTAGCCATAGCTACTCTCTGTGATGGGCAAAACCCAAAACTTTGATTTACATGGGCAGTTGATTAAGGACATGCACTACTCTTTACAAAATAGGAAATTAATATGTTGCTGAAGTAACCTTTTTCTGGACCTTACTTGAGATAAAGGATGTAAATACCAGTAGAATAGAAGAGCCAGTATGGTGTAGTGGTTAAGAGCATGGGACTGGGACTCAGAGGATCTGGGTTCTAGTCCCCGCTCAGCCATGGAGCCAACTGGGTGACTTTGGGCCAGTCACAGACTCTCAGCCCAACCTACCTCACAGGGTGGTTGTTGTGGGGATAAGATGGAGGAGGAGAATGATGTAAGCTGCCTTGAGCCCTTTGTAGGAAAAAGGCAGGATATAAATAGAACAATAAATAAATAAAAATAAAAAAAGATGAAGCAGTTCTGACAGTGTGTCCACATCCCAGCTGAACTGACATAACATTGCCTTAGAATAATTGCCCTAAATATAGCTACTAGTTGATGAGTCTCTATGAAAACAAAAAAACCCTGCACTCAGTTTTAAAGACCTACTCATCTCTGAGCTTGTCCTTCCCAATTTTTTTACAAATACCTGATGATGTTTAAAGAACAGAGATAAGAATCTTTATATCCTATACTGTTTTTAAAAAATTTATTCTTTGAATGTGCATATCAGATATTGCTGCCAAATATATTTTGCTAGGAAACTAACAAGCCAACCTGCTTCCTGGGTACCAGGCACGATGATGAGCCCCTCTAGGCCAGGCCTCTAAGAACCTCGACACACATCAGAGATCTTTTGGGCTGCTAATTCAAAAATGGAGGATGAGAGCCTCATCCATTAATTAATAATGTAGCTCTCTGTCTTCCTGTGTGTCACAAGCTGGAAAGGCCGTGATCGGCCAATAAAGATGTAGGGGAAAGAAGTCGAAAGCTCCTCCCAACAGCTCTTCCTCATTGAGAGCTGAAGTAGTAGATCAAAAACTTCCGAGGAGGTAGGGTTGGGGGGGAAAGAAAAGAGCAAGGAAGGGGTCAGCAGAAGAAAGAAACGAAGAGAGAGAAGCCTCATTAAATACCACCCAGGCGGAAAGGACAATCGTGGTACAAATCAGGTAGGAGGGGATGGTGCAAGCCTTACGTCTGTCTTAGAAGGGTCGATCTGTCTCGCGGACCTATCTGGGAAGACCGAAAAAGGCACTCTCCCCTAGCTCTTGACAGGAGGGGAAGCTCATCCAGCAGGCTCCCAGCTGGAGGGGATCCCTCATTAAACATCAAACGAGGAAGCGGGATCGGGAGGGGGGGAGAGTCCCGACAGAAGCTGGACAGGAAAGAAGATAAGTGATCAAAGACCTGCCCTCCTTCCTCTTCTCTGTTTGTTTAGCGTTTGGGAGGGAGGGGAAAGAGGTGTGCGGCCCAGCGTGCGCAGGTCACAGGGTGACCCCGTGGGCGGACAACGGGGAGGGGGAGATCCGAAGCGTGGCCTTATGAGCGGGAGGGGGGAGAGGAAATCCCCAGGTCGGTCGAGCACGTTGTGGGGGGGAGGAAGAGGAGGGAGCCGCCGCCGCTGCCGCCGCCTGCTGTTCGGCGTCATGGCCCCATTGTGAGGCGGCCTAGGGGAGGGGGAAGCGGGGGAGGAAGGAAAGATCCGCTCTCTCCGTCAGTCCCAAGCAAGAAAGCAGCGTGTCAGGCGCACACAAAAGGCGCCGTCTGCCGCCGCCGCTACGACGACGACCCGCGCCCCTCTTCGTCTCGATTTAACGTGCTCGCTTTCTCCTCCTCCCGCCTAGAAACGGGAGTCCGCGATGCCGCTCTTACACCGAAAGCCTTTCGTGAGGGAGAAGCCCCCCGCTGACCTGCGACCCGACGAGCACGTCTTCTACTGCAGAATCACCAACGAGATCTTCAGGGACTACGAGTAAGGGGCACCACGCTCTTCGCCACCCCCTTTCCCTTCCTTCCCGTCCTCGCTACGCACACCCGTCCTCGTGGGCTCTGGCGCGATGGTTTGAACAGCAAAGCGCGGCGGCAAACGGCTGACACCTGGCCGGGGAAGGAGGAGGGAATCCCCTCCCAGAGGTCGGGGAACCCCGCGACTAGCCTTCTTTCTGTACACCAGGCAGGCTGCCCGGGCGCCTCAGGCTGCTGACCTTAGCGCCCCTCTCCCGGCTGGCTCTCTCTGCGCCCCTGCCGGACTGGAGGGAGGGGAGAAGGGAAAGTTTGTAGCAAGTGAGTGTCCGGGCTGCCGCCCCTTGCCTGTCCCTGCCCTGCCCCGCCTGCGTATCCCCAACCCCTGCCGCTCGCTGGCGTGGATTTTAAAAATGTTTTACTAGGCCTTGGTGTTTTGCGCGTTTGTGTTTGTTTGTGCTTCTAGCCCGGTACCCTTGACCGAGACAGGGCGGGGAAACTGCCGCAGAACCAACGGCCGGCTGCACCATCTAGGCCAGGCTTGGGTTGAGGCGAGGGACTGCCTGACGGGTGTTCCTAACCGCCTCACTTGACTATTGTTTTCGTAGCAGCTGGAAGGACGGAGAATAAACGCGCCGCCTATTTAGCCGCCTGAGCGGCTGCCTCCCGCCTCTAAATACTACTCCGTTAGGCTTGAGTTAAAGCCTCCGCAGCCCTCCCCCTGTTTCTCTTTTAGTAGTGCAGCTGAGCAGCCCGGTTTTATCCGTTATGCAAGACCCTCAAACACCTGTCTTTGCGGGGGGAAAAAAATCATCCCTTTCACCAAACTGGAGACTTTGGTGACTTTCCGTATCCCTTGATTTTCAGTTGTGGGAGCAAGCCTTGACCACCTGTTCATCGAACTCCTAAGGCTGTATAAAATAGTTGAACTTTATGCAAGCAAGGGGATTGCACGACGGATGTATTGGACTAGCTATGGCTAAATATCTTTTAAGGATTTGAGGATCCTGTAGCTTTTCAGTTCGTTATTTCAGATTTTTAAAATGTGTATTCACTCCCTTGCTCCTGTCAATTTGTTCAGTTAAAAGCACTTGTGCGTTAACTTGGTTAAAACGGAGAGTGCAATCCTCTGGGTTGTGACCGAGAGGCTTACAACCATCCTTTGCAAGATAGGAGTGACAGAGTGGATCTTTGCCTCCCTGTCCTGTCTGCATTTTGTCTAGGGAGGAAGGAAGGAAGGAAGATGGAGTGCCCCCCAATAGCTTGTATCCTGGCCTCTCCGATCATTTCCACAATGCCCTCTTTTTCCCCTCTGGGGTTGCCTTCTGAACCATACAGTTTTTTTTCTGCAGAAAGGAGAAGGGGAACAATTTTTCATTGATTTCTTCCTTAGACCACATATTGCTCCACCCCCACCAATTAAACTTGAGTATTTTAGCATAGGAAATATTTTGAGAATAAGAATAACTCCCAACTATGTTTGGGGAAAAAAGCATTTTCAATATTTTCCTTTGGGTATATTCTCAATTTGGATAAAAAAGCATTCACAAGGGAACAGTTGAAATACATACTGAAAATCCACAACTTCAGCTATATTCATGAACTTCACTAAGTCTTTCCTGCTCTTAATTACTTTCATTGTTATGAGGTAAATAAGAGAAATGTTAACATTACATATTAAATACTGGGTGTGGGGAAGATGTGCATGTTCAGGACAAAATTGTTCTTATCCAGAACTCTTCATGTTAAGTAAGAAATAACCAATGGTTTATCCTTTCTTTTTGTTCAGAAAAGACATGAGGTATATTCCACCCAAAGTTAAGCACTTTGATGCTCTAGAAGTTTTAGTAGAAGGCAGTTGTGTTCATGCAGAACTCTCTCATTGATACCTGTAGGGCTTAAAAGTGCTGGGTTCTATATATATTTAATATGCATATATCTTTATCTTTACATCTAATATGTAAACATTTTACAGTGTTTTTAGTAATGTGAAATTGGAGTACACCTCTTGTGTTTAGACATGTTTTTGTTATTCAGATGAAATTTGCCTAGTAAAACTTCAAGTTAGTATAGATCACACTGAAGGGGGGAAATCCTTTGTTTTTACAGAAAGTCCTGAAGTGATAATTTAAAAGCAAAACCATATTAACTCTGTAATCACTGTTAAAAGGGATGAGGCCCTAGAACCTGTACAGTGTCAGCAGAAATGTCATGCCAGGCATGGATAATACCCCAGGCCATTAAACTGGACTGGAAAATGGATAGGGAGCCAATGTCGTAGGCTCAGAATAAGTGTAAAATGATTACAGCACTTAGCTCATATAAACTACATTGTCTATACTGTACTTGCCTCCATAAAGAAGAAACACATCACCAAAATAAAGATGATTTATATATGCTAATTTAAATATATTAGCTTATGTAATATACAAATGTAGAAATACATAGCTCAATTTCAATAAAAATAACAATATTATGGTTTATTATTTTATTACTAACATTTGTATACCGTTACCAGCTAAAAGGCAGTGCCATAGTGAGAAAGACAGGGAACAAGGAAGTTCTTTGCCTGCTCAGTTTGCTGTCAAGGTACTGATCATCCACGGTCAACTTCTAGGTTCCTTCTTTCTCTTTCTGGAACTAGACAGCCCTACAGAGAGGACTGTCATTCTAATTGTATGGGGAAATTTTGCAATGGAATCAAAGCATGCATACAGAGACACATAATGGGAAGCCACTGAGGATTAATTTTTCCATTGGGTATGCATGTGAACCCAGAGAGAGTGGATTGTTGGAGTGGTTAACAAGCCACTCACAACCCTAAAATACCCATGGTTTTTGGGTGGCCTGTCAACTACTCCAACAACCCATCCTCACTGAGTTGACACATAACAAAAAGCACAGTGTATGCCTCTGATGCAAATACAATGGTGGCTGTTGCAATGAGAAGCTCCATGGGAAAATTCACTTGTGATGACTTCTTGTGCTGGGAACTTACAGTTAGATTTGTATTCTTGGCAAATGCTTACTGTTTTGAAACTGTAAGCAATGTAAATATGATAGAACATCCTATCCAGCACTAGCTTTACTCACACACTAGCAAGAAGGATGTAGCAGAAATAGGTCAAGTCAATATGTAGAGAAAGAGAGAGGCGAGAGATAGCTCAGATTTATTGATTTATTTATGCTTTTATATGCTGCCCCCTACTCCAAATGGAGTCTCTGGGCGGCTTACAATATTTAAAATAAGACACTCATCAAAAACAAGGAAAAAAATCCAATACAGGAAAACATTAAATAGTTAATATCAAAACAGCAATAAATAGGTCAATACAAAAACTATTGGGGGAACAACCAAGATGATGGTTAATATAAACATTAAAATTAACTGTTAAAATTTATTGATTAAAATACCTAGAAAAGGGAAGTGTTTTCTCCTGGCGTTGGAAGGAAAACAGTGTTGGTGCAGAATGAATTTCTCTGCAGAGCTCATTCCATAAGTGCGGGACAGCCACCGAGAAGTTGGTCCTTCTGTTTGCCACCCCCTAACCTCTTTGATGGCTCCATTTGAAGGACCTCCTGTCCAGATCTTAGTGGTCAGGCAGGTATGTACAGGAGAAGGCAGTCCTTTAGGTACCCAGGTCCTAAGCTGTTTAGAGCTTTATATGGCAAAACAAACACTTTGAATTGAGCCCAGGTGACAACTGGTAACCAATGTAGATTGAAAAGAATTTGTGTAATATGGACCCCCAAGGTGGTACCAGTTATCAAATAGATCTGGCAGTTCTGTCCAGAACAAAGAAATGTACATACACTGCAATATTATCCACAAATTCTACAAAATATATTTTTAAAGTGTATTTCCAATTATCATGAGACTTCTATACACCTTGAACTTTTATGTTTCTCTATTCCTTGCTCAGCCATAAGAGAATGGTAAGGTATTGAGCATAGAAGTATCAGCATTGCTACCTCAGAAGCTTGTTTGATCCATGAGTTTAATATTTAGGAAAAAAATATAAGAATGGACTATAATGCAGAACCAACTGATTATTTCTTATCCAGTGGAGTCCTGGTTACTTTGGCAATAACCTCTTGGGATTGAAACCATGGTTTTGAATTCATGGCAGATGACTGGAAAGATAGATGCGATCTAGGACTTAATCCTGGCTAAGCATGCTTACCTGCATATATTGCAAAGAAATGGGTTATGTTTCCCAGCTTGTTTGCCAGGTTCCTATACAGCAGTAGACCAGATTAGTTGTTTGACTGAGCTACCATCCTTGTACTTAAATGCTCCATTCAGTGGCTTTTATGTTTTGAATGTGCATTTCTAAAGATGGTAGTTGGAACAGTGCAAGATTTTATTGCTATACTTCCTACTCTGCTTCCAACAGTTTTCATTCCGCAGCTAGCCAGAGTGGTTTCAAGAATGGTACTAGAGATTCCTAAGCCTAAACAGTTTATGGAATTTAACATCGTGTTAGAATGGTTCATTCTAGGAGTCTAATGGATCCTGATTATTTCCTGAGCATATAAAACCTACAAGGAGGAGACCATGCTAGCCCTTCCCCCTTTTATAATGTGATTATTATACTTTACATCCGGAGCATGAAGAGGAAAGGTTCCAGTATCCATTGATGCTTTTCACATGATTCAGAATGCTGATTGAAATGATTCCTGGAATGAGAATGACCTGACCTGATCAGTTCCCAAGTGCTCCTAATTATCTTCTGTCTTTGTGCCCCCCTTCTGAATTAGAACTACAGCAGGAAGGAAAAGGTTAAAGCCCTCCCTATCCCACACTAGATTCCCTTGTAATTCTGAGTTTTAAAAAAGAGTAGAAATAGCTGCAAGCTACATATTAAAAGTAATGTGTTGTTGAGTATTGAATTGCATCTGTTTGGGATACAGAGAGGGTTAGACTTGTTTTGGCTTCTCTTTGATGACCTTTCCTTGTCATGTAAAGACTTTTCACCCTGGAATGCTTTTGACCTACTGGGAAGATAATGCATTAACTCTCCCCGACAAGCAATTTTCTGTTCAGGCAATGTTGAGACTGTATCCCAGAATTAGTATCCCATGTAAGATACAGTGAGTATAAGTTCAATTTCATTTTATTTCTAATAAAAATAGAATTGTATCCAAAGACCAGTATACAAGAAGAAACAGCTCCAAGGCACTCCTGGCCAAGTTTTGAAACCAGGCAATGCAGTCAACAAACATGCTGCTACAGAAAAGCAATCTAGCTTATCCTGAATTTGAGAAAAGCTCTTCCTAATTAAAAATCTCTGCCATTCAATTGTACTAACATAGACTAACATGAGGTTGTGATGGGTTGACACAACTTCGCGACTAGCAGCAAAGTAGACTAATTTGTCTTTCTTTTTCTATCCAGCTCCTTCATATTGCCTTCCACCTTCAATACAGTCTTGCATGCAGTAAAGACAGATGTCAGCCAATTTTCAGATTGTTGTATTTGCCATTCTTGGTGGAGAAAGGGATTTAGGGGAACTAATATAAAGAAATTCTAATTTTGTCAATACTGTAAGGAAGTAAACTGCTTCTCCAACAATTGGCACCACAATTCCTGTATTCCTAGCACATATTGCACTTCTAGCTAAATAAAAGGGTTAGGGTATTTTGCAAAGAGACTGATCACTCCACCCTTGCTGCCTACCAAGATCTACTTGTATAAAAATGCATTGCTTGTATTAAACCAAGTTTTCCCAAGAATGTATAAAAAACTGACAGTATTTGAGAAATTAAATTGGGAAATCGTAATACATAATCCCTGAAAGCCATAAATAAGATGTAAGATAATTTCAGTCCCCCCCATAAAAAAACAAGTTGATTGTACAAACTCATGGGTTTGTTATTCATTTACATAGCTCTAAAATATCCATAACTATTTTAAAATTGTTTTCTTAATTCAGAGATCATCCATGTAACATGTGTTCTGCAAATTGCATGTTGATAATATCTGTGTCCTGCCATATACTAGAGGGGGCCTGAGAGCCAATTAAAAAAAAGAGTAGTCCTCTTTTTATTTTATGGGAGGGTCAGGTGGTTCAATTTATGAATACTTTAAAATGTTTTTATGAACGTGGTGATAAAATGTCAGTTACTATTATGCTTTCTGATCAGTGTATTAAAGACACTTCAGAAATAGGTTTTTTCTAAAGCACTTTAGCAAGGAGGACAGGTTGAACTCCCCTTCTAGCTGCCAGTTTCACTCCTGCTTTCTACTTTGTTTTCTCTGCCTCCCCATGTTGTGGTGCATGCTTACACTTAAATGGCAACAACACACGCACAACATTAATGTGAACAATTTACCTTATTTACCGCTTAGACACATATATAGACTAAGGATAGCTAACTTCTTAAGATGTTGCAGTTGGGTGCCCTTCAACTTGAGAGGCCAGCTTATTTGACCATGAGGGAGGACAGAGGCACAATTTTGCTTAATGTTCTTAAAAGGGAGGGTGTGTGTGTGTATGTGTGCATATGTGAAGAAGCAGTTACTGTAGGAAAAGGAAGTGGGTAAAGTCATAAAGGGAACACACCAGTAACAAACAAACAAAACCTCTTGATTCAGAATAGAAAGGATTACATAAGAAAAGTAGTGGGCTGTTGAACATTCGGAATGTGTGTAACGGCAAGCTTGGGGTTCCTCATTATTAGCTGTGGGTGCCATTGCTGAATCTTTGGTGTACAGTTCATTCCCTCTCTTACCAATGTGTGTTGATGGTTTTAAACATTTTGGTTGTGTGCACATTTACAGTGGTAAGGGTCCTACAATTCCCACCATTCCCCAGCCAACACAGGAATGTTGGGAGTGTAGGATTTTTTTCTGTCTTAAGCTTCATGGAATCATTCTTAGATGCTGTTCTAAGAACCAACTAGAATTCATTATTTCCCACCCTGAAAATTGAGAAAAGAGGGGAAAACTACTGAAAGATAAACTGTAATTAAAAATAGCCAGTAAAATAATACCTAACATCTCTAGTAGCAGAACAACCAGTGAGTGAAGTGATACATTTAAAAATGGCACTTTGCATTTTAACCCAGCCCTGGTGCATTTAATTGCAAGCAAGTCTATCTTAAAACTCACTTTGTACAATTCATTACAATTATTTTAACTACCAGCTGATGAACAATGGTAAGTGAAAATACAGCTGGGCAAACAGATGGGTGTAGAAATACTCCTCAAGGATTTATGGTTTTGTTTTAACCAATTTGGATTTGGCTATCAAATTCAAATGCTGGTGGTACAGTGTGATTGCTAATGAGTAACAACTGGGGAGGAACCATAGCTTCACAGCATTGTTGTGAACATCAGTGTGCAACTGGGGAGAACCATGTACTACCCAAAGCTCTTTGGAGGAATGAAAGACCATAAGTGTAATAAATAAAGGCAAACAGTAGAATACAATTAAGCACTGAAGCCAGCAGGATATAGAAACACTTATTTTTTTTTGTATTTTGTTCTTAGTGATTGATAGCTGACATGTACAGTTCAGTGTAGTTATTTTAACTTTCTTTCTTGCAGTGACTTTTTTGAACGAACCATTCTATGTAATAGCCTTGTGTGGAGTTGTGCTGTCACAGGAAAACCTGGACTCACCTATCAAGAAGCACTAGAATCAGAAAAGAAAGCCAGAGAAAATCTCCAAAACTTTCCAGAACCACTTATTGTTCCAGTCCTATACTTAGTTACACTGACTCAGCGCTCACGACTTCATGAAGCGTGTGATGACATATTTGCTTATATCAAGGACCGCTATTTTGTTGGTGAAATTGTGGAAGTACTTAGGAATAATGGTGAAAGGTAAGCATCTGGGCTAGATTGAATAGATATATTTATTTCTCTTCTAAAAAGAAAACAAAATCAAGAGCCAGCCTCTAAGCCACTTAATTTTAGATGGACTTGCTTGGTAATGTATGTTAGAATCTTTGATTGTATTAGCAACTAGACTCATATTCTTTGATCCAGTTCTTGTTTTCCTTATTTGCAATATTTTGAATGGAATCATGGAAGTGAAGGAACAGTTCACACAAGAGACAGGAGTGCATGATGGTCTATAACATGCTCTTAAAGCGCTCACCATTTGGGAAATTACTTTACACTCAATCAGTCTAGGACTACAATCAACATAAATATTGAATTGTTTTATTGTATCAATTTGAACAATCTAATCCAGCATTCAGTTTCCAATAGTGAACAAAATCATTTGTCAAAAAATTTCACAATCAGGTCCTGGATAATCAGCACTGTATGACTTGTAAACATAAAAGTGCCAGTTCTGTTTTCCATGGTTAGTCACTCATAGATCCTTTCCATTAATTTGTTTGGTTGTTTTTTTAACACTATACTGTTCATCTATCCATCCATACGTGAATGCTGTTTGTATGGTCAAACTCAGTTGGCTAGCTCAGAAATCAGGGCTGATATAAAGGAACCCCATTGCTACTGTCCCTAGATATTTACGTACCTTCTGGGAATAGAAAATAAGGTTTCAAGTAAAATCATTGCTGTCCACATTCCACACACCCCTTCCTAGGCTCTTCAGTTAGTTGCATTCATTAAATAATCTCAACTGAACTGAAGAACCAGCTGTTTCAATGCCCAGCCTCAACATACCAAACAAATTCTACCTTGGCAGTTGCCAAGGCCTATCCTATACTTTAAATGGTAATGTGTTTGCAAGTGCAACATTAACGACAAGGAATTATTGCATCATTTTCTTTAAAAATCAAACTATCAACTTCAACCATGTATTTTGTGTTTGTTTGTAGATAACATGGATGTACAAACACCAAATGGAGCCTTAAAATGTGTCAGGAAATAAAGCAGGCCATCATTAGATTAGATCCATAACAATCATGTTATCCTTGTTTATTTGGGTCATCAACTATAATAAGGGATGATCTTTCACAAGGGTAGATTCTGAAGCAACATAAAATCCTTTAATTTTTCCTTATTTCTATAAGATGTATTTTAATGCCTATTTTCTAAGTAACAAAATAGATACTAATTTAAGCTATTTCCCTGGCATTTGGATAAAAGAGGAGATTTTATGCGCCAACAGCCAATACACAAACCCTCCCCTTTCCACATAAACACCTAAAGCCTGACTGCCATAATAAGATATTAACAGTGGGCTAAATGTATCGCATATGCATTCGTGCAGAGGGAAATTGCCGCTCTCCTAACAATGGACTGAATTCAAGAGCTGCCTTCTACACATGGATAGTGCCTATCATTCACCAAAAAAAAAAAAAAAACCCTGCAATACAAACTGGAGGATCACATGAGAAAAATGAAAATCTAAAGAATTCTAGTACTGCAAGAACTTGCAAAAGCACAAGAATATCTGTAACATCTGCCTACTATAGTACCTTGCAGCCTCTTTCCCTAGCGCTCGTAAAAACATTTGCAAAATGGCACTAGTGACGATTTTCCTTCCACTAGATTCTTGGGATCTAGCTCATAATTCCTTTAGAACCATGTGTTTGTTTGCACATGTATGTGTGTGTGATGAAAGTAATTGAATTTAAATGGATAGAATATCCAGGGATGAGTTAATCCACCCTTTGAATTTGATACTGCTTCCTAATTTTTTGGGGGTTTTGGGAATGAAAATATTCTTGATTGTAAATAGTTATGGATTGGAAATGGCAATGACTGTTTTTACATTTTCTTTGTTCTAGATTGCACTGTAAAATTTTGGAAGTTAAAGCACCACTATGTCACAATGGAATGGCTAATGGTCATGTCAGCAGTGCAGATGGAGTCACCATTGTTATAAGTGATAGTGATGATTCAGACTTGGATACCAGTTCTGCACAAAATGGGTAAGAACTTTAAAGTTTTATTTTAAAAGTACAAATGCAGTTTTAAAACTCTACCAAAATATTTATAAAATCTTTCCCTGTAATTCTATATAGCCATTGTTACCTACTGAGTAAGAGGAATGCAACATTGCAAAATCTGATAAACCACCTGCATCATGTGCTTTTGTTTTGCATATCCTTAAGGCTGTCAGCCATATGCCTATGTGTGCTATGTTTGTCTGGAATTGTGTATAATTACATATTTTCCCTGCTATAATTCAGGGCAACCATTTGGTTTTAGAATTGCTGTCTAAACTCAAACTTCAATGTTATGAGATTGTGCCTTGTACTTTCTGCCTTGTTGTCTCAAGTAGTTAATTCCACGTACACAACAAGTGGTGCTGAGATGTATTGCTTTTAGGAGGAAAATTAATAATTGATCTTTATGTTTAGGAAAGAAAAAGCCATAACTGATCCATCCTTGTTCAAGTATAAAGTGAAGCCTATAAAGAAACAACTGTATGAATCTGTTACAGTGAAAGCTTCTCAGATATGGTAAGCAGCACTAGATATGGTCCTACTGCCTGTGTATAAATGTAGAGTTGGATCCAGATTCTCTGGCAGAAATAGGAAGACAACATGTGTAGCTTTCCCATTATTACACCTTCTGAAAACATGCCATGGAGGCTTGTGGGACTATTTGGAATTGGGAGATTGCACAAGAACAAGGGTCTCAAATTCGCGGCCCGCAGGCCAATTGCTGGGATGGGCAGGGCACGGGGGAGGGGCCCTGCAGCCTTCAAAGTGCCAGCGGCGCCTGGGCCGGCCGCAGGATGAGCGGCCCACCACCACCGCAGTGGTGGAATACTTGATGCGGCCCAGCCTCACCCAGACTCTACTTCCAGTGGCCCCCAGGTAAATTGAGTTTGAGACCCCTGCACAAGAAGGAAGAATCACGAAAATATGCCTCCTGTAGCCTTTTGGCAGTAAGATTCTCTGCTGTATCCAAATCCTTCCATTAGTAGCAATTATATAGTGCTAGTTTATTTCCCTAGAGGTGACTGTACTTAGCTTGAAACAAGAGAGAGTATTTCATTAGTGTTAGACATTTTTATGTTGACCTTAAAGTACGGAACGTATTAATAATGACAGTACAACTAGTAAATGTACTGCTTGTTTACCTTATGATAATAGAAGCCTTTGAAAAGACTCTGTTGTAGAATTCTCTAAATTGTGACACTGCCAACTCCCCCCCATTAATTAAAAAAACGCACACAAGAAAACAACACTATGATAACTTGATTCTGAGTGCACAGAATGATTTAACCTGAAATAAAGTGTCATCAACTACTCGAAAATCCTCTGTTTGAACAGCTTTATGGTAGACTCAGTTATTATAAATACAGATTGGTTATTACTCTAAATTTCATGGATGCTTTGATATTTGTAGCTCTTATTAGAAAAGCCTAGAACAGTAGTTGCCTAAAAGGCTATAAATCTGAATTTCTTTTGAAAACTAAAAATTAAACTGAGCAACTTTAATGTAGTGTGTCCCTTTTCTTTTTCATCTGCATCATAGTCGGAGGAAACATCTTTTTTCTCGTGACAGACTTAAGCTCTTTTTGAAGCAGCATTGTGAATCCCATGATGGCATTGTTAAAATTAAGGTAATCAAAGCAGTTAAAGTTGAGATCAAGCTGGGAAATAAAAACATGGTTGATCTTATTTTAATCAGTTTGTCTGAAACTGGCTATGGTGTGCACTTTCAGTGATTTAGCTTGTGACTTGTTTTCCCCCTCTACTAAATTGAATACATCTGGAAGGGGGGTTATTTCGATTATTTTGTGGATATTGTACAACATAAACATTTATTTATAATTTAATTTATAATTAACTTCTCCTGTGTTTGTTATCTAGCTAGGAAAATATCCTATCTTTAACTTTTGATTTGTTCTTTCTGATGTACAATGTACAGAAAGAGTACATTGTACAATGAAGGCAGCTCTATGGACTCTGGGCAATTCTTTTACACTGACTGATAAAATAGAGCTTGGCTTACATTATACTATGGGCAATGAATATTGAGCACTCTTGCATTTTTTGATGATGATCAGTTTAGTTGCAGTTACATTTTCATCTGTTCTGATGGCAGGGCCATTACTACTTATTACTGAATTGATGCTTTTATTTTAACTTTTATGAAATGCTGTTAAAATTTTCCAATTGAAGAATAGCATATATAAATTTTGAAAATAAATTGTGAGAGTAAATCATGTTGCCCTGTTGCATGTCCACTTCCTTGTATGCTTGGATTCCTTTGCATACTTCCATACAATTTCAGGCAGACTGATTTTATTTACTACTAGATCTAAATTTACAAGCTAACACCCAATGATGATATACCTAAAAACTGAGGGCATTACATTAAGTGACAAAAAGACAGAAGGAAGCAGTCAAACCTAAATGCTTCAGTTATCCTGCTCCAGTTAATTGTTTTTGTGGCAACAGACTAATATTCCTTCTAGAAATTTTCATGTATGTGTTGGTAACTCATCCTTCTTTTGTTTATTAGCCAAAATTCATTGTCTAATTATTGTGCACTGCTGTTACATTCTAGTATAAAATGGGGAAAATGAGGCATTTATATGTACTTTTTCAAGTATTTCTGCCCTTACAAAAGATAATGTTCCAAACTCAAATAGACTTGTCTGCTTTCTATTTCAATGGTACTTACTCAAGAATGGTGCCATTTAGTAGAGATACTTCATTTCAGTGGCAAGAACAGAATGCTTTTTTCTCTTTTGATCTGATAGAACAGTAGCTAAAACAATAACCAGGGTGTATATGTAAGGCCTGGAATAACCAACAACACATTGTGTTTTCTCCTCTCCTTTTCAAGGCAATATCACTTGCAAAATACAAGATAACAGAGCAGAATTTTTCCTACCTCTTTCCTGATGACCCACCTACTTTTGTCTTCAGTCCTTCAAACAGGCGACGGAAGCCTTCAAACATGATGTCAGATGGTCATGTAAGTTATGCAGTCCATCTCTGCTTTCTGACAAACTATACTTGTGAATTATATCTAAAATGACCAATCTAATTTGTATAGTATTTCAATGTGTAAACTGCCTTGCTAATTCCTTGAAGTAAGTCACTGTTTTTCCCATTTTAAGTTGGTAATATAATACAAGGAGAGAGAGAAATTCACCAAAGCCCTGGAAAACCATGGACAGTGGTGGGTCTTGAAACCAGGCCTCCCAGATTCAAGATAGATGTTGGACCAACCTGCTGCTCATATTTGGAATGCTACAGGAAAATAATCAAAGCTTATTGCAACAGAGAATGAACATCTTTCCAGTTTTCTTAATTTGTCATGTATTTATCATTTCTAGTTTGACTTAGAATACATTTAACTGTAAATTAAATTAGAACTTGTCATTAGTTATAAAACTTAAAAGATTCAAGTTATCAATTATTTCCCTTTATCTTGTGCTTTTGTCCTCAGGAAAGTAAGGCTGCAGAACAACTTAGTCCTAGAAATGTAAGCAATGCAGCAAAAGAAAGGGCAAGACTTCAAAAAGAAAAAGAAGAAATGACAATAGGTAAGTTCATCCTTGGACAATGAATAATCTTTTCCTGGATGAAAAAGCATACATCATGGGTGACTTCTGCTTAAAAATAACAAACTTAAAATCTTGTGACAACTTGAAGACTAACAAAATCCTTTGTTTTCATTGCGACAAATTTAGGGCATAATCTAATGCTTTGTCCTGGATGCATGTAAGCCTTGTGCATATCCAGTGAAGGGTGCAAGGTGCATTGACAGTGATTTCTGCTGCCTTGCACCCTACATTTCAACAACTAACTAGCTGGCTGTTGGCCTCAGCCTTTTCTCCTCCTAGCCTCACCCCCAGCCTATCCCTTTAGTGTTCTCTGAGGCTAATTTATGACCTTGGGGAGGCAGCCAGCATTGGTTTTTCCATGCTATACGAAGGGGAGGATAGGGTTCTGCATTTGAAATCCCTCCTTCAAAGTTGCAGGACTGCAGAGGTGTGGGTCTAAATAATCCTATTCCTCCTCCCACACACAATGATGGAAGGCCATAGGATTGCACCCTAACACAGCTATCCCTCTGGAAACAGTTCTTATTGTTGTAATCTTCTAACAGAGAAACTAGTATGACCCAGTATCAAAAGCGGACATTTTCTGAGTCTGTGCCTCAGCTGTGGAACCCTCATCCAGGAGAGTCTTCTACAGCTTCATTATAATGTTATCTTTTGACAGCTATTAAGATAGTTTTCTTTAAGGAAGCTTTTTTTTAGTTTCATGTAAAAATCGATGTTTTAACTAGCTGCTGCACTGCTGTTAGTGTTCATGGTGGTGCTATTGTTTTGTTATACTTTATTTGCATGTTGGTGGTTGCCTGTAACAATGTATACTTAACAGAAAGAGGATATACCTTATCTTAATCTAAAGATAAATTAAACAATTTAAACTTAGCAAGAAATCTCTGATTTCATTGGGCCTTGCTTTCTAGTAAACCATTACCATATGTTTGGCACTGCTTCTTGGTTGGAGTCATAGATAGCTAGGGGTGATTTCTGATGCAGCTTTTAAAAACAATCATTCACGAAATTTTATTGGGGGTCCACACAAAATCATCTCCCACTTGTAACCATACTATGATTTCCCACGGCTTCTTCAGCCTTACTGCATAAAATATATTAAGGCAAAAACAGATGGAATGATTGCTCAATTACTTCTGCTTGGTAGCATCAGGAGCCCTCCTTCTGTGGAAGCACCCCAGGTTGCACTTGCCTGTTAGTCTTGCTTAATTGTTATTGTTTGTCAAATCAAAGACTCACAGTTAAGGTTGCTGTTAACCTCAGAGGCAGTATATATGTGCACATTCCTACTGCATGGCATTACTTCTAATAATGTGATCAAGAGAAAATCCAGTTTGTCAGGTTATAAACAATACTGTAAATAGCAGTTACTTTCTCTGTATTAATGGTGGTTGATTGGTGTCTTATAAGGTTCCCTTTAAATGACTAGGTTGCTTTGTGTGGGATTGTTTTATTCTTTGTCCTGGTTCTTGATTTTAGCATTGAATTTGATTTTTATTCATTTACTGTTTTTTAAATGTAATTATTCTACATTGCCTAAACAGCACATGCTGTAAGAGGACAAACATAAATAAAAAATAGTAGCTGTCTGGCCCTAGCCATTTTTTCCCACAGCACCACTTTTTTATCCTCCTGATATTCCCAGAGTATAAGAATCGTGCCTGCATGAACAATCACCAACAGTGCTGCGTTTCTACAGTGCAATCCTTATGGCAGTCATTTTGTTTTATGCCGCCTTCTGAACATAAGGCTGTTTAGTACAGGACTGCATGCTACAGGTGTTCAATGACATTGTTTTTGAAAGACAGATTTCATGTAATTGTTAAGGCCAGAACGAATCATGGGAACTTGCTTTGTTACCTGGGAGTAGTTTTTGCTCACAGAAATTAGACAAATGGCAAACAGGAAACCTCAACATTTTGCTTGTTTTGATATGGTTTTAAAAACTATATAATTTTTTTGAATTGTATTAACATTTTATATATTGGAGTAGGGTGAAAAAATAAATTTATTCAGCCATTTGTTTTTCTTTGAGAACTTGTTCTAAGTGTGTAGTCTATGTAAATTATTTTTTTAAAAAAACTGTGGTTTTCCATATCTTTTGAAAAAAAGAAAAATTAAAAAAGGAGAAGGCAAATGCTATGGAATCAAAAAAGAGAGAGAGAGAAGATAAAGAAAAAAGGAAGGAAGAACTAAAGAAGATCGTGGAAGAAGAAAGACTAAAGAAGAAAGAAGAGAAGGAGCGACTCAAAATAGAAAAGGAAAAGGTCAGGTACTCTCCACCCTGGATCCTGATAGTTATGGACTGGAAATGGCAATGACTGTCATATTCTGTAGCTGCATTTAGAGGTTCCTACTAGTTAGAATTAGAATCTTGGGGCTGAGGGTAGAGGCAAACAGACAGCAGTGATATGTTTGTATATGTTAGCAATGTTAGGTTGCAGATACAAACCTATTTCAGATAAATACCTTCCTATTTCAATGTTGTATCATTTTCCCAAGCACCCTGGATAGCACAAGGTAACAGTCTAAATTATAGTTACAATTTTAATTTTCAAGCAAACTACATAAAAATATTACTATAATCACATCTCAATATAAGCAGTGTTGTGTTGTGATAAATACTACCTAGCCACATAGATGTTCTTTCATACAGATTGAAATAGGAATGTTAGCATTTGTACTGACTAACATGCATGTGACAATAAAGAATTAATAATAAATTTAACAACAGCTGAGAGAGTAATCATAGTTAAGAAATGGCAAGTAAAATATAACTATCAATTGGGGATTGGTACAGAGAGGGATGGGATATAGCTATTAATGATAAATTAACTTGTGATATCAAAGTGAGAAAAGGGTATATAAAGAAAAATATTTTTAATGAGATTTGAGGTACATTTATTGAAAATGTACTAAGAAAAGGGAAAAGATTAAAGCCTTCAGAAGAGTCATTACAATTTTGGAAGGTAAAAGCTTCTGAAAGAATTTTTGATAGTGTTTTCAACACTATCCAGTGTATCCAGTGGTCCTGGTGATGGGGTGAACATTTTAATGGCTTATTTTAATTGCATGTATAATGTTATATGCTTTTATTCTAACTGTAAGGTTTTTATTTATATTTTGCATTGTAAAATATAAAAAATGCATGTGACAACTGACATGGATCCCAAACAGGTGGATGGAATCTTTAACTCTGAGTCCCAGAGACAAGGACTCAAAGAATCATACAATTTTTATTAAAAATTAAAGCAAAAGAAAAAAATAATCTCTTTCTGAAAGCCACAATTTACCAGTTGAAGCAAAAGTACAAGGATGCTAGCAGTCCCAAAAGGGGATAGAGAACATATGCAATATAGTTTCCTAATAAGCATGCATGTGCACACATGCCTGTGTATCTAAATATGGGAAAGAAAAGGGAAGGAAGGAAGATGGACATGGGTGGGATCCACTTGGGAGATTTTAGGGTGGTGCTGGTGCTGCTAATGAGCAAGTTCTTGGGCAATGTGGCTGCTTGAGTAAAAAGTGGGTTTGGGATACAATAAAGTCACTAAAGCTAGAAGAGGAGATGCTTAACTGTGATAAAAGAGGTTTTCATGGGTGTAAGTGGATGGAAAATTTGCATAAGGATGGAAATTCAGGGGAGTTATTACCTGACAGCACTTTTGAGTTCAGATTCACAGAGCAGCTGTGCAGTTAAACTTTACAAGGAAGCTTAATTCTCATATTACCACAAAGAGAGATTGCCTATTCAGAATAATTTTAAATAGCCAAAAGATGCATAATTTCTTTTGACTACTATGTTTTCAGATAACCTGAAGAAAACACAATATTTTTTTAAAAAATAATCTCTCATAGTTTGAAAAAGAAAGCACTGTGGTGGAGAGGCTTGGATTTTTCTCCCCATAATAAACAAAAACTTGGTGAAAGGATGTGCAAACCCAGAGAAATCTCAGGAAAAAACCAAGAAACAGAGTTCCAGTTGGGGAGGCAGTGGCAGTTTGTCTCTGCCTCTGTAGTGAGAAGCAAAGGAGTCAAAATAGGAACAAAGTGTGAGAGAGAGACTACAGTATTTATCTTACAGCATGCAATGAGGTTTCTTTTAGTGTAAAATATTCTGAATGTTCAGTGGCTTCAAGCCCCACCTTTTATCTTAGCTCTCAGCTTAATTAAAGGCAATGATAATACCTTCATTCTTGGGTTACAATTTGAGATTAAAATACACTGTTGACACTGACTTTTTTCAGTTTTGATTGGAGGGCAGCAGTTTTGAGTAATACACAGTTCTATTCCTGATCTGATGCTTCTCTGACAGATCTTTGGACCTAACTACAATAGAGAAGATATGGAGGAGAAAGAATAGGCTCTCATAGATTAAGTCAAGGAGACAGAGATTCAGCCAATGGTGGTGAGAAACTGACCATATTCACAGACCTCAGACAGATGTGCTCAGCTAAAAACACTGGAGTGGCAGATTTCTCCTAATACTTAATCTCTCTCTGAGGACAAAATGAACTCCTTTTATCCTTGTGTCCAGTTCTTGCACAATGCTAGGGTTTAAGGAATTTGGCCACAAGAATATTGTTCTTCAATACCGTTGAGAGCTTTGTTTAATGTTAAAGTAAGGCCACAGTTTCTTGTAGCTACTCTGGTAGTAATTTTCTGTTTAACTGCAGGAAAGAGAGAAACTTCGTGAGGAAAAACGGAAATATCAGGAACATCTAAAACAATGGAGTAAGCGTAGAGAAGACATGGAATGTGATGATCTTAAGGTAATATGATTAAGAATATGTATATATGTGTTCAGTTTCTTCAGCATGCTTGGGTTTGACATGATAGAGATAGAAAGTGGGAAATCAAATGAACATCGTTATTTTAAGGCAGTCTATTCCATGTGGTATGTTTAACAATATGGTTCTTTTTCATGGTCTCTGTGCATCACATTTATTTGACTTTTATTCTGCTCCACTAGCCATAAGGGCTCTTTACCTGCATGGGGCCTGTTGTCTGGAGGGTTTTCCTAGCAAAGCTTGTTTTGGTGGGAGCCCTGCCCCTCCCTCCCTCAAGTATATATAGGAGAAGCTCCTGCCATTTTCCACGGTTCTTTTCCAACTCCCATTTTGGGTGCCTTGGGTCTTTCTTCCTAGTGTCTTCCTATTACTTCAGATCCTTAAAACATTCTATCAGTCTCTGCTTCTCAATCTTTTACTCTCTCAGCTTGTTTTTCAACCCAGCTTTTTACCTTGCCCTTATGCAAAATAAAATAAAATAACTCTTACAGATGTGTAGTTACACAAAGTTGTCTGAGATATATATGCAACTTGTAAATCTAGTATATGGTTATCACATACAATTTCAGTGGCTTCCCTTGTTTGGGGAAATTATAATATACTATTCCAATAGCTGGGAATAATCAGAGATGGTGTGCTGTGTTGGAAGTAAGCAACTAAAGTGCACAAACAAGAGTTTTAGGTGGGAGTTGAGTGTGGGAAGGTTGAGGGAATTAAACACACACACACACAGTCATCTGGAGATCCTAGCATTGTGGTCACTACGAGATGTATTCCAGTCACCTACAGGGTATGTTTTCCTGTCTGGAGGCAGTATTTACTGTACCTGCAGCAAGTACAAGCTATTAGCTCTCCTTGGAAGAGAGCTTGAGTCACACTTCCATTTTCGGAGAGGCTGAAATGTTATTGGATGGGAGGCCAAAGGCCCTCTGGAAAAAAGCACCAGAAGGGGAAGATTTTGGAAGAAAGAGGAATAAAACAGAGTAAGAGTCTGGGAAGTAGAATTGTGTACTACACAGGAACAAGAAACGTGGGAAAGGTTCCTTGCCAGTGGCAAAGGTACTAGGCTATTTCCATGAGGGTAATTCTAGGCCACCTGTAGAGTTAGCATTCCATGCTGCACAGAACTTCAAGATGCATAATCAGACACATGTAGATAGGAGGAATTTAAGCAAGAACCTGGAGACAAACTGATACATGCTGGTGGTCAAAGATGTCCCAATGAAAGACACAAAGGCAGGTGTGCAGATTACATGTGCCAGGCGTAATCTTAGGAAGTGTGTTGTCTTTCTGAAGCATTTTTTAAAATTGTGATGTGGAAGCTACTAAGACTCATCAGGCCAATGAAGAATTATCATCTCCACCTGATTCATTGGGAATGAATAGTTCTGCTGAAGGGAACATGGAATGGATCTTGAAATGCTACAAGCCACTGAATAGGGAAGTGAAGAAACTAGGGCACAAGAGGTAGGGTAGGAAAAACAGGATAAAAGTATCCAGCTGGCTTAGCAGATAGAGAACAGGTCTTATATCACAGCCACCCATCATGGTAAATTACCACAATGAGTTGCCACAAAGTACCCAACAACCATGCTGAGCCCAACCAGTTTCGGCGAATGGGGCGGCATAAAAATGTTTTAATAAATAAAAATAAAATAAATAAAACCACCAAATGAATACAGTAGTGCGCATGTTAGTAACTTCTAGGCTTGACTTCTGCAATGCCTTCTATGTAGGGCAACCTTCGTGCCTGCTCTGGGAACTGCAACTAGTAGAATATATGGCAGCCAGGCTGGTCTCTGGAACATCATGCAAACACCACGTATCACCTATTTGATAGAGTTGCCAGGAAAGCTTTTCATAGCTTGGGTCCAAAATCCTTTCAGGACTGCCTTTGCCCATACATTCTGCCTCATTAGCTAAGATCCTCTGGGGATAATCTTCTGAAGTCTGCTTCTGTAAATTTATTGTCAGCTATCCACAGGACTTTTTCAGTGGTTGCCCCAAGCCACAACATGGTCTGCTGGGAGAGAAACATCAGATTTCTCACCTTTAAGAGGGAGTTAAAGACATATTTCTTCCAGCAACCTTAGTTCTCATGTCAGTTTTATTTAATATGTTGTCTTAGTCAGTCTTCTCACTTTTGGTTTTAATTTCTTATAAACTGCTGAGAGCATATGGGAATGGGGTGGTATAATAATATTTAAAGGCATACATACATACATATGATTGTTTTCCTCCTTTCCCCCTCACCTCCTTCCTTCTCATTCCTCCATGCAAATATCATAGGGGTCTACACAGGGTGGAATAAGGCTCTTCTCTTGGACAGTAACAATCATGAGTCAAGTTCTGCTCACCATAGCTATTGAGCAGTCTCTACTGTTACAAACAGGGCTAAGGCCCTGAAGTGTACCAAAGATGCCAGGGGAGCTGATTAGGCACACTCTCCTGCTCCAGAGAGAACCACTGGGGCAGGGGATGCCTGATCCACTTAAAGGCACAAGGGGAAAGCAATCATCTAGGCAGCACCATGGAAAGGAGCAATGCCAGTCATCTGATCATCCCGCTGTTGTGTCTCAAGAAGCTTATTAGATGTAAGTGGGGAAGGGGATAATCGACTGGACAAAAGTGTCCCCATTAGGAGTAGAACTGCTTGGCTGATTTCCCTACTTAGTTTTCACTTCACTTGCAAATAAAAACATAATAAATATAGCCTGATTTTCCTTAACTGGAGAGCTACCTTTTCCTTAGGAAAATTAGTACATACAGTGTTAGTCCTAACTATTTCCTATATAAAACAGAGTGTAAAAAACTAAGTTTATTGGAAGCTGTGAATTGCTAAACACTTTTCTCTTGAATAGACATATTTTTAGGACTCAATTTTATGACAGTATGGATAGAAGCTCTACATCTGCATTTCAGATTCATGAGACCTATATTCTTAATTGTTCATTTCACATATAATTGTGTTGTTTTGCATCACAGGAACTTCCAGTTCCAACTCCAGTGAAAACCAGACTACCTCCTGAGATCTTTGGTGATGCTGTTATGGTATTGGAGTTTCTCCATGCTTTTGGGGAACTCTTTGATCTTCAAGATGAGTTTCCTGATGGAGTAACTTTAGGTATGTATCTGGTGTATCTGGTAGTGGAGAGGTTTGGTGTCTTGCTTTAAGCTCTGCAACTTTCTACACACTTTCTCTCATCTGTGGACATTCATGACAATTTGTTTAAAGATTTCACTTCAGTTTAAAGCCAATTCACATGCATGAACTGGCTGTCTCCTTGAAAAGTGTTTTTCCTCTATGTATTGAATTACATATAGGTGAATTTGTGTGAAACCAGCTGTATGTGCAGATAGTGTGAATCTATTTCTGTGGTGATGATAGCTACAAAAACTGCCATCATGATTACTGCTGTGCCTGTGAACTTTCATATATAGCCCAATTCATGTTCACATGGAGGTTTCTCTGTGCAATTGGTTCATGTGTGTAATCTGGCATAATATTTATAAAGCCTTTAATGTATCTTTGAATATTAATTTTACCATTTACAGTAGTCATCAACTACATTGGACAGAAAAGCCAGGTTGTCAGCATATTTGTAACTTTACATGGATGAAAGCTCCAGGTCCTCATGCTGGCACTGGTTAGCTGAAAAATGAATCAGCAGGAAATAATACCTTGCATATCTAGTTTGTATACATGGGGGAAGAGTTGCTTTGCAAAGAAAGTAAGAGAAATAGAGGAAGTATCAAAGAGCTAGAGAAAGTTTTCCCTTCCCCCAGAGGATAGGTTAGAAGGGAATGGGGCTTGTAGAAAGGCAGACATGGTACAGTTTGGTTTAAGGACATTCTTTTAAAGGTATCTTGTTAAATTTGCCTTTTATTGTATATTCCCTATAGTCACCCTAATTATGAAATGTAGATGTGCTTGGACATACGCTTTTAAGGTTTATTTGCCCAAATGTCCCCATTCATTTCACATTGGAGTACACCTGCCTTATGAGGTTATGCACAATGAAAGCTGCACATAGATTTCCTCTTAACTGAAACAAAAGGAGTTTTTCCTTTGGCAAAGTTGATCCATATGTATTTCTGTTAACTGGAATAAATTATTAAATCAGGCGACTGTTCTTCCTGTACCAGTTTGAAAATACCCCATATAAAAACTTGATAAATAATTTGAAAATCATATGTTGGGGAGCTGCTTTTACTTTTCTTTTCAGTATAATGGTAGCACATTGACTAAGAAGACTTTCTCTTAAATCCTTTATAGAAATTTTAGAGGAAGCTCTTGTAGGAAATGACAGTGAAGGCCCACTATGTGAATTGCTGTTTTTCTTTCTGACTGCCATTTTTCAAGCAATGGCTGAAGAAGAAGAAGAAGTGGCCAAAGACCAAATAGCTGATGCTGAGACCAAAGGTCAGGCTTCAACTGTACTTCTTAAACCTGAACTTACTGTGCTTCTTAAAGCATACTAATATGCATGCATGGCAATATTTGTTCAATTAACATTGCTCTGCTTCACTGTACATAACTGGTTTAGGAATGAGAAGGTGTTTTAGGTGCAAGCTGCTTTGGTCATCCTGGTGTTTTTTATTTGTCTTTTTTAAAAGGCAAATGTTCCTTTTAATTCAAGAATACAGTATTGGCATTTTTTTAAAAAAATCACAAAATTAAGTCCTCCATTTTTAGTTTAATTTTGGATTGGCGGTACATGGTACTTTTAACTGAAGTGTCAGAAAGTATGTGCCTTTTATCAGTTCTGTGACCTAAATGACTTCCAGAAGAGTCTCTGCATTCAGCTCGCATAGTAAAAAAAAAGACTGGCCTCTTTCACTTTAAGTTCTAATATATTTATTGTAATGTGAGCTTTTGTAGACAGGAGTGCACTTCATCAAATGGTAGCTTGTCTTTAACATGGTGTTATGAGAATTTTTGTCAGTTGTCATATTAAAGAGCATTTAGCAGTTTTTCTCTTTTTCTTCAGTGGCAAATCAAGTTATTGACATAGTTAGAATACTTAGTAGAATACTTGGGCCAAGAATGTATGCTGATAGCCCGCTTCTTAGCTAAATTAATCGTTTGTCAGGAAGAGATACAATCATTTTGTCCAGAAATGCACTTTTAAAAATTGAGCTACACTTAATTTTTTTTTTTTAGAAACATTAAACCTGTTGTTGGTTTGATAGATTTGTATTCAGTGCTAATCTAACATAAGTCACATTTGTTTTCAAAAAACATTTCACATTTGTTTGTCATTTTTGAAAGGACCAGTATGATATACAACCCATAAATACTAGTGTCATGAATTATGGCAAAAACTAGTCATAACAAAATATTATGTATTAACAAAATATGAACAGCTACTTTCCTGTTAATCTGAATGTGGGCATTATGAATGCTGAATTCTGTCCCAGGGAATTCTGCTGTGGGACATAACTTTTTAAGTTCAAAGTGGCTCAGAACAACTGCTGAATCTATCTTTAGGAAGACATTACAAACAGCAAGGAAGCAGCTTTAATAATATCTGATGACAACCTCCTGAAATGTTATCAGGGTTTGGAAGAACACTCATTTAGATTTTAGTATGACGCAGGTGATTTTGCACAAGTCCTCTTATTATTTTTTTAAATATGATGTCAGGTTAAGTCCATCAGTTAATTTTAATTATTTTGCTTCTAATGCCCAGAATATATAATACTTTGCATGTGAAAAAATGAAGCTGTTAAATTATAGTCTGCCTTTCCTCCAAGGACTACAAGGCAAATTAGATTGTTGTCTTCCTGTTTACCTCCATTTTATCCTCACAACAAGATTAGGTAGATTACGCTGAGGGTCAGTGACTTGCTCAAAGTCACTCATTGAGTTTCGTGGCCAAGTTTTACTCCCTCACTCTAGCCCATACTGGCTTTCAGTTTGTCGGAGCAAGGCAGTTGCCATTCCAGCTATTTATGGGTGCCTGTTTAAGGAGTTAGGGCACCTTGTTGGAAAACTTGGATTAAAATCTTTGCTTTGCTTTGCTTCTCTTCCTTTTTCTTTTTGGCAACTATAAGAATTAGGATGCTGAGGTATTTCATGCAGATTCAGAATATGTCTAACCTAAATACTTTCAAGTGCTCCATTAAACGATCTCTTCTCTGGAAGCAATACAATAACAATTGAGGATATTGAGGCCTAGGGGGATAATTTCACAAAAGAAATATGTGGTTAAGCTATGCTACTTTTACTTATTTTGACTCTGTAAGGATGTGCAAATGTCTTTTTTTCTTTTGTTGGTCTTTCTCAGGTATAAGTGTGAACGTATGACTGTCTGATACGTAGTCTTTCCTGGTTGATGTCAGAGAGAGCTAAATGCAATTGTTGACAAAGATGGCAGTTGATAAGTAGATACACCGAAGAGGTATTAGTGACAAGATCTCCCCCTTAGCAGTGTAATCCACTAGATTTCAAAGGGTGAACTGAGAGTTCACAATGCTCTTCTCATTTTGACCTCTTCCCAGGTCTATAGCTACTCCAGCAAGGGGTGATATATTGCCCCCACCTTCTTTGATGGCTCCTTCTTGGAGCGTTTACTGCTCCAATTACTGGGGTTCCCTGGCTGTTAACAATGAAACAAAAAAACCCTGAGAAGGTGTCTAAATGGGGCAGGGTGAATGGGCCAATATTAGAGGTCAGTATAAGTCCTGATGGTGCCCCATTTGCTCTGTCCACTTTTATCAACTCTAATGTGTTTTTTGTAACTCTGGAAAATGTGTCCAATTTAAAATTGAGCAATATATGCAAATTCCATGATTCAGAAATAAATGAAGGGAACTGTATAAAGATTTTGTGGGTAGAAATTATATTGATATACTTCAATTTAATACTTCAGCAATTAAATATGCATGTATAAGCCATTTTGAAAATGTGCAAACTTTCCAGACAGTTAAAAAAAACCAGTTAGACCTAAGAAAATGGGATTGAGCAAATGGGGCATCAACAGACTTACACTGACCCCCAATTTGGCCCCATTCATGCCATCCCATTCTACTGCCTTCTCAGGGTATGTTGGCTTGTAGAACATCAGGCAACCACAGTAACTTTAGCAGGGACTCTCCTTTGACAGCAGAAGCAGACAAAAGCAATGACCAGGTAAGACTGCATATTTCAAAAAGCTGTACGTACTTACTCATGTACCTGCAAAAGGTTGACAAAAGGGTCATAAACATAACCACCAGAAAAAAATAGGAATCAAATGGCACAATTTTGAGGCTCTGACCCACACCCCAAATAATGTCAAACAAAAAGAGGTAGCACTTGGAGGAGAACAAAGCAGAATCTGTTCCAAAAAACACTGGAATATCAGCTGGGAGTCCAAGAGAGGAGGAGCAGGAGATTAATCCACAGCAAACCTGATCATCTGTTGGGTGTACTGTGGGTTGTTCCACAAGCAACCAACCCACCATGGCTTTCTTGCAGAGTGTCTTAGCATGATGGGCAGACTCTACCACTCATTACTTGGTTGAGGGGGGATCCAAATTACTTTTTGCTGTACCAGTGTGTGGCTCCACCCTGCCCTGACTCCCTGCCCATGGTCACAGCTGCCCATCTCTTCTACTTTCTCTCCATGGTACAGGCTTCCTCCTTCTCTGCCCTATCTGCATATGGATTCCTCTGTCCTCCCTCCAACATTGCACCATGTTAGCTAGCTTTCCTTCTTCAGATGCTCTGTTCATGTACAGCTCAGTCACAAGGTACTTTCCCCCACACATACACATACAAAGGACCTACCACCAATGGGCACATGCAGCAAAGGTCAGGTAGCAAAAGCAAGCAGGCAGAAGGACAGCACAGACAAGGAATGCTATTTTAATTGGACTGGGGTGGCAGTAGACGCTAGGAGGAAATATGGTGCGTAAGGAAGCAGATAATCTAGAAAAGCTGGATTTGAATTGCTACTATTCACACGAGCACCTTACCTAGGAACTCAATGTTGGAATATAGAAATGGAATATTGTACATTGGCTGGCCTGGATATTCTCCAGTGCAGTGGGATGCAGGGAGATGCTTATTTGACAAACTTATTTTCAATGCCTCTTTTAGGCCTGATGGAGCCATTCCTTCTTGTACAGAGGCAATAATCTCTCCTTGACCCACTTAACAATTTCTCCTCTGTCAGATTTTATAAGCAAGGAAGGGCAAGTGTTGAGCACATGTCTTAGTTCTCTAGGAATCCTGTACATATTCTTTGGCTGTACAAACTGAAAAGTATCCACGGGAACCAAACAGGTACTACTAAAACTACAAAAAACTGCACCAGCTATAGTGTCAAGGTCAAAACAGGTATAAGTGATTTTATCTACAGTGTGTCTTGCAAATTGGTCACATGCTCATACTTTTCTGCTCTATCTTACTCTGTTTGTTAGTCTCCTTTCATATGAATAAAAGTAAAAGGCAGTTATTTGATTAGGAGATCAGGTGCAGGCATGTTAACTTTTACACGTGGCAACTGTTGTTTCCAGTTTAAGCCAAGGATAGCTCAAGTCTGCTTTGTGGAGATGTAATAGTTCTCATTAAACAGTTATTTTGAGTAAGGGTAGAGATCTCCATCTGGAAAAATACATGAACAAATATTTTCAGAATACGAAATCTTGTCTTGAAAGAGAATTTATTCTTGTTGCATTGTCACTTTAACTTCTGCATAAGGACAGGGAAAAAATCTAAAGTGCGTTAAGGTTTGTTAACGTGAGGTAGCTGTATTTACGAAAGTGGTCACAGTTACTTGTTGATGCTGCAAAATGATTCGCATAGGCTTATTGTTAGTTTTGTATGATCTGAGCCTAATTAGTGTTTGTTTTTATTTCTCCAACAAGTACTGGTGTCTCTTCAGTGACAAAGTATGATATGTGGACATATCTGTGTTTTTGTTCCCCTGGGAAACCTTGATGTTGCTGCATCTAAACTGCCTGAAAGCTGCTTTAGAGCTGGCTTATTGGTGTGCATCTCTGATCAACTGTGTGAAATATGGGATCTCTTTGTGCAGTATGGCAGATCAGTACTGACTGGTTGCTGGCATCTTTTTCTATTGGTCTTGTACTGCTTAATCATTATATGGAATGTAGTAGTAGGATACTGCCTGACTGCTTGCATTAAACCTCTTTTACAAGGTCCTTGTTTGCATGTGTGTGTTTGTACTCTTGCAGTCAGCTTGTGTTCAGTGCAAGAAGCTTTTAGTGAGTGTTGCATGCTTTCTCTGGCATTTTGGTAATATGCATTTGTTTGTTGCACTGCGGCTTACATGAATATTGAATTTATATGTTGCTTTAAAAAGGCTTGCTTGCTTCACCTCCCAAATGCAAGTTTAATTTACACTAGAATAAAGTCTTTATTTCCTTAAAGATTTAACAGAGGCTTTGGATGAAGATGCAGACCCCACAAAATCTGCACTATCTGCAGTTGCAACTTTGGCAGCTGCATGGCCCCAGTTACACCAGGGTATGTCTGGGTTTCACTTTTTTTGTTACATTGTTTTGCTCTATTTTACAAAATGTCTAATTCATATTGTTTACAAAATATTCTTAAAAACCAAATAGTCTAATCTCATTCTATTGTTAACTGTAGGTTGCAATCTGAAAAACTTGGACCTTGATAGCTGCACCCTCTCTGAGATTCTTAGACTTCATATCCTAGCATCGGGTGCAGATGTAACATCAGCCAATGCTAAATATCGTTACCAGAAACGAGGAGGATTTGATGCCACAGATGATGCTTGTATGGAGCTAAGATTGAGCAATCCTGGGTTGTTGAAGAAACTCTCGTATACCTCAGTATATGATTTATCATCAGGTAATGCAGTTGGATGAATTTGTCATGTTACAATTGATTCTCAAAATAAGAAATGTCTGTTGGAACAAAGTAAAGAAAACCAAAAACCCTTGCTTGAGGCGCTTGAAGCATAATCACAGAAGTTTAACATACTAACATTAGCAGTTGTGGAAATGCTGCATAAAATGCCCAGAAATATTGCAAGCAAAATCAGGGCGTACATGGGGCTGAGTATTAATTTATAAAGAAAGATTGAGTTTAGGCTGGTGCTTTAATTTTGTGGAAATTCAAAGAGTGACTTCTTGTAGGAATTTATATCAGATAGTATCCTAAGAGTTAATGGATATGATCAAAACACTATTCTGGGACTGTCCAAATGTATATGCAGTGGGATTTGTGCCTGTTCCATTTTTCCTTTTATGATTAGATTCCTTTGTCATATCATACATTACTTTTGAATGTTCCCTCAGTTTCTCAACTAGCTTGTCATATGGCAGAAGGTCGAACATCCCTTAGGGCATAGTGCACTTTGCATTACTCTTTGGATTGGACCTATGTGCAGATAGGAAAACAACTCACAAAGAGGTTCATGTGCACACAGTTCAACAAGATTATATGTGACATAATAATAATAATAATTATTTTTATTAGAACATTTCTATGCCACCCCTTGCCGAAGCCTCGGGGCAGCTTACAACACAATAAAATACAATACAATATAAGAATAACAATATAAAATTAAAATTAATAATATGAAATAAATAAAAAAATATAAACGATATAAAAGAAGTTATAAAAGAAAAGTTATGAAAGAAAAGAAAAGTCGCCCTGGCCAGAAAAATAAGTAAATATTGAGATACAGTACATTGATTCTCCACCCCACCCCACATTTATAGTTCACAGTGTGGTTTAATGAACCAGTTGTCATTTCCGGGTTAGCCTAGAAAAAAGGCAAGTAAAAGGAGACAGTGGTGTTCAGAATCATACATGGTGTGGAGAAGGTAGATAGGGAGAGTCTTGTGTCCCTCTCCTGTTATGCTAGAACTGGAGTCGTCTTATGAAACTGATTGGTGGTTGAAGTACATCTTCACACAGTGCATAGTTAAACTGTGGAATTCATTTTCATGAGCTATACTGATGGCCACCAAATTGGACAGCTTTAAAAAGGGATTGGACAAATTAATCTGGGAGAAGGCTATCAGTGACTACTAGTATGCTACTTCATAATCAAAGGCAGTGTATTTATGAACACCAGTTGACTGGGGAACATAGGCAGGAGGGGGTTGCTCTACTCAGGATAGAATAGACTTCCTTGGGGGATCCTGTGGGCAGCTGGATTGCCACTGTGTGAACAGAATGCCGGACTACTGGTTTGATCCATTATGGCTCTTCTTATGATCTGGCAGATTATGGAGAGAGATCTTGCCTTATTGATTAGACCAACTAGCAGTTCAAAGAATAGGCCTCTGATTTCTGAAATGAAGCATCAACCTTTAAATTAATTTTATTAGGGGAGAAGATGAAGATTCTTCATGCTCTCTGTGGAAAGCTTCTGACTCTTGTTTCTACTCGGGACTTTATTGAGGACTCTGTTGATGTATTGCGACAGGCAAAACAAGAATTCAGAGAATTAAAATCAGAACAGCATCGCAGAGAAAGAGAAGCTGCAGCAGCAAGGTGTGAAGAGCACAGAGGATCATATATGATCAAGATAAAGCCAAGTTGTAACACTTTCCAGAAGAATAGCATCTAATATTTAAAAAGCTAACCTATTAGAAATGTAGTATCCTATGCAGTATCTATGCAGGTTTCTTCGGTCATAAACCATATAGATTAATTTAATTTTCCTCATTGCAAACAATATTTACAGTATGTTATTTAATTCTCAAGATAAAATGTATTTTTGAATTCACAATCTCCACTTGGGAATATAGAAAATTCTCTTATACCAATGCAAGTTAATTGTCTAGATCAGGGGTCCTCAAACTTTTTCACCAGGGGGCCAGTTGAAAGTGCTGGGTGCAGGCCGGAAAGGTGGTGCTGGCGAAGTGTGTGGGCCGGCGAGGGGGCGGGGGTGGTGTGTGTGGGCATGTGAGCTGAGGCGGGAGTGTGGCGAGGCAAGGCGAGGGGCATGCGGGCACATGCAGTGAGGGGAGGGGAGGCACGTGCCACGAGGCGGGCGCATGAGGCGGTGGCTTGCTTGCTTGGAGATCATTTTCTCCGAGCGAGCAAACCGCTGCCTCACCATGCGTGGGGTGAGGTGGGCGGCAGTGGGTGCACGGGTGTGTATGGGCACGCACACGGTCCAAATGGGCATGGCGGGCCAGATAAAAGGGCATGAAGGGCCGGAGCTGGCCCCTAGGCTGTAGTTTGAGGACCCATGGTCTAGATTGACTGGTAGTGGCTTTCCAGTTTCAAACAGGATTTTCTCCCTGCCTCAAATGAAACTGGGTCCTTTAGCATGCAGAGTATGTGTTCTACTACTGAGCCTACAGTCTTTCCCCATTAAGAGTGAGAATCAGTGATGATTTTTAAGGCTATTTATTATGTACTAAAGTCCAAATCCTGGAAATCCATTCCTTTTGTAGCATGATATAATTACAGAAAATATTTGAGAATACTACATGCTGAAACTAACATACTGTTAATACTGTGTAACTTCAGAATCCGCAAGAGAAAAGAAGATAGATTAAAAGGGCAAGAACAAAAAATGAAAGAGAAACAGGAGAAATTGAAAGAACAGCAGAAAAATCCTGCAACTGAAGTATCTGTTGGGTATGATTGATAGCTATTTAAAGTTCATTTTTATTGCTTTTCTAATGCTTAGTTGGGCTCCTTGACATGCTGGTCTTAATGTACTTGATAACAGGTACATTCAAAGAATTCTCAAATTATCACTCTCTGTCTGGCCTGTAATACTTGATGGGTACGCTCAAAGGAATGCGAAGCTGAAAGATAACTATACTTAAATATGTCTCCTATTTTATACTGTGCATGGGATCCTGTATTAAAATACATAAGGGATGACATTTAAATGTGATACATGTGATAAACCTGTATTATAAAACAAGATGAATAATTACAACTGACCTAACAAAAGCAATTTTTGACAGATACTGAATATATCAGCATATCAGTTGACCCTTGAAACCAGAAATAGCAAGGCAAAAATCAGGGGTTGTCTTATATGCCAGGTGAAAAAATTTCAGCAAACGGTAGGACCCCTATGTCCACAGAGGATAGGATCTGAGTCCCCTAGTGGATGTCTGAAATTGCAGGATCCCCATGAAATTGGAATAACCGCAAATATCTCTAGGGACTCTTTGGGGCTGCCGCACTCTGTCTCAGAACTAGCCAGCCTCTCTCATATGTTTTGTCTCTCAGAGGATGTGAAGACTTTAAAGATATTCATGGTTTTTCTAGAGATATTTGCTCTTTTTTGTTAGAGGTATACCTGTATATTATCAGTGTATAAGAGGACCCTTGAAACTGGAAATAGCGAAGCAAAAATTGGGGGCCATCTTATATGCCTGACATATGACAAACAGCCCAAAATATTGATCTCTTACATGCGAGCTGCCATATACATCATCATATACAGTACCTGGATTTCCAATAAGTGTGCACGTGTGAGCATAGCAAAGCTTTATTTCCCTCATAATTGTGGAACAGTAATTTTATATCTCTTTTTTGTATGTAGTGCACAGATGGGCAGGGTACAACTTTTCAGAATATGCTCTAAAATGTGTTACATGTGTGGTACACATGCAATTCCATATGATTCTTTGAACTTCTGTCTCAATTTCTGGTGTCTACATTATATCAGAGATGGGGAACAGGAAGAATTTGATACAAGTACAGAGAGTAAAGGTGCTGATACAAAGGAACAAGACCAAGATGGTATGACAGATGATGAGGATGACCTAATACAAAACAAAAAGAGAAGAGGAGGTAAAATCCTTTTTTATATGGATTTATATTGATGCAAGTTCTTGTTTGTAGAATTTTTAATGGAAGACAAGAATAGAACTGAAACTTCAACACTAACTCTTTCGTCCTATTGTAAAGAGTTTGAATAATATTTGATGAATGAATCATTTCATCACTCTAATTTGATATTTAAGGTTGCTTTGTTGCAAGTAAGCTTACTTAGCTTCCTAAAGCTTGTATTTGAGGAACAACATTTTCTTCCACATGTTGAAAGATACATTCTTCTGATTACTTTTGTATGAAGTGAGCTATATTTTATACCATTGCTATATTGAATTTATTTTGTAAGTTACTATCTGCTTTTCCTGTTTTCTTAACATGAAAGGATCATACAATTGAAGTGGTTTCTTAGATAAGATGTGTGCACTTGTGTGAGCGTTTAAAGAAAATCTAATAAAGTTGCAATGTTAGAAAAAGTAATTAAGCATACAATCCTTTGTTATGTTTAGACAGAAAAAAGTCATACTACTTCCAGCATTCCATAGTCGACATGGGTCATAGGAGTTTTTCCTGTCAAAACATCCATAGGATTACACCTTAAGCCTGTCTTCAGAACACATTGTAATTCTATTTTTATAATAGGACTTTGTCATTCTTCCTGTTTCAGTGACTTGCAGATGCAGGTTCTCCTGATTTTTTTCTTTCAGAAGTATAGTTATAATCTATTTTTCACATATCTGATAGTTAACTTACTAGTGACGACATACTTTCTCACTAGGAATTTAAATTTCATGCTGCCAATTAATAAAGAGAGCTAGCATGATAAAGTGACAGAATGCTGGACCAGAACAAGGAGACCTGGGTTCAGATCTCCACTTAAGCTCATAAATAGACTACGTGTATGTCACTGTATTTCTGCCTAATAGTTCTTCCTGGGTTATTTTAACAATAAAGAGGGGAGCAAGAAGAAACCTTTACACTGTGTACAGCTCCTTGGATGTAAGTATAATAAAATTAGCTTTGGCTCAGTGATATGCAGAAGAATCTTCATGTAAAAACTGTGAATGAAGTTCTGTCTATAATTTAAAGTCATGTGATGGTTGATAGTATACAAAATGTACTTTTGACCAGAACAGTTTAGATACTTTATTGTTTGCATGAAATTGTTGTGTTTTTGTTAAATGTGTGCCTGTTTCTGAGCTTTCTGTACTTTGTATACTAGTGCCTCTTTCAGGAAAAGGAGTACATGATGGCTTTAAAGAACTTGCAAGGCAAGTAGAGACTACTGGTGAAAAGTGTGAACTACTCACTCCAGAGGAGGAACAAAGTTTAAAAGAGGAGCAGCAGGCTAAAGAACGGGAACTTATTGACAAGATTCAGAAAGCCACTGCTTGTACCAACATCTCTCCTTTAGGCCGTGACCGCCTATACCGACGTTACTGGCTTTTCCCATCTGTTCCAGGACTATTTGTGGAAGAAGATTATTCTGGTCTTACAGAAGACATGTTGTTGCCTAGACCATCTTCATTTCAAAATAACATACAGGCCCATACTCCTGATAAATCTCTGAGAGCCACCAAAACTGGAGAATCTTTAAAAACAGAATCTACCTCTAACACTCACCAAGATTTGGATGCTAGTGCTACTGTACAAGTGTCACAACCAATACATAAGCCAAACCGGTGGTGTTTTTATAGTTCTCAAGAACAAGTGGACCAACTCCTAGTGGCTCTCAATTCTCGAGGATACAGGGAGAGTGCCTTAAAGGAAATTCTTATGCAGGAAAAGGACAGAATATGTGAACACCTGAACAGTTTTCCTGTAGAAAAATTCCATATTTCAGGTAAATAATTTAGTTTTTCTGACTTTTCTAGTAACCACTGGCTATTGCAGATTTCATTTGTTCTTCCTCTCTTAACAGTAAGCTCATTTGTATTGTAGAAAAGCATGGTTTTCATGTACTCTTTCTGCTTAGTATATTGCATGGATTTTGCCAACTCTTTCAAAATTAAATATGGAAAATATTTTGCAAACCTAAAACAACCCCTATATTCTGTATGTTCATTGCAATAACGGATTCTTTCAGGTTGATTGGTCCAAAGAGCATGCTCTGGGTTGTTGTGGATTATTTAACTCATGACAAGCTATGGTGCTAGCAGGCCCCAGGTTGAAATGTGCAATTTCTTATCAGGGTTCTTTGCTGTGCAACCCAGTGAGTGTTAAACAAACCACACATAACCCAAAAACAGACAATGAGTTATATACAGGTGTAGATCTCACATAATCCATATTAACTGGGGTTGCATATTAAGCATGGCAGCTGTATGCTTTCCACACATGCTGTAGCCTCATGAGTTAAATAACCCACAACAGGTGGTTGCATTATACAAACAGCTACAGTGTATTACAAGATTTTAAGCATTTATTCAGTGACATTTCTCACAATAAAAATAGGCAGAGGTTTAAGATTGTGGCCCTAATAGAAGCCTGTATTCATTAATTCATTATTACATTGTATCTTGCTTCTCTTCTTTTCCAAAGGAACTGGCTTACTCATCTCCCTTTTAATCTCACAACAACCCAGTGAGATAATTTAGGCTGAATGTTAGTGACTGGGCCAAATTTATCCAGTAAACTTCATGGCTTTGTTGTATCTAGAACCTAAAACTCCTAAGTCCTACTACACCACACAGCATCTGTTAATTTTATTTCATTTTAGGATATGTTATTCATGCATACCTTATTAGGTCTGCAGCGGAATTCAGTGTTCCATGTCAATCAGTAGAATTCTCCATGTATGAGTGCTGCACCTGCAAGGCAAATGGGTTGTGTCCATAATGTATAAAAATGTACACTGCAATAAATGGATAAGCCTAAGTTGTTTCAAAACCTTGCCACAAAAGTTATGCTCTGTGGTACATTATTTATTTCAAAAATGTATGTTAGTTTTCCTTTCCAATGTTGTCTGTGAGACCATAGGATTATTTGAGGTCCTTGCTCTGAGGTCCTTTGACCTCCTGTGATCCCTGGGTCCCTGAATGCAGAGCTTCTGCCCTGCCCGGCATGGAAAGAACGTCACTGGCTACTTCTTTAAGCTCAGAAATTGACCTCTTGAGAGAGCTAAAGGGGTGTGTTGGCGGGGTGGGGAAGGAAGGAGGTTGGGGCCAACGGTTTACACCATATCCAAATTCTGTCCCACCTTGATCTCTCCTCCTTTGCAATTCTTCATCTGCATAGTTATCGTCATCTTCTTCATCTCGTAGTTAGCTGCAAATGACCATCTATATGGTATGGGGAGGCAGAAACTCCTACAGTTCCATATGTCTTTTATTGGATGCATGTATATCTCCATGTTCAAGGATTTACATGCATTGAGGATGAACAACATAGAATTATGCCCTAAAACAACAAAGTAAAAGCATGAGAAAAGTGAAAAGCGCAAAGAACCAAAAGAGTAAAAAATTAAGCAACAGTTACATCAGTAATGTTGTATAGAAATGAAACTTATAACTTACCAATAATATGAAAGTATATTGAACTGAGACATATTTTTAGAGTGTTTCTATTTAATGTAGCTTGATATAGCAATAACTTAGAGGTTGGCAGAAAACTAATATTAAACAGTGCTGGCTGAATTAATTTGGTAAATATGCAGAGTTAAATCCAGTGTCATGTGAGCAGACTGTTTATTCCCCTTCCTCTCTTCCCCTCTGTAGCATCTTCCCCCTCCAGCCTCTGTAGGAGGGAAGGAGCAAACCATTTTGCCACTGTTTTCTGTTCTACTGGTAGATATCCAGGATTGAGTTAAACCCACTATTCTAGGGCACAGACCTATTGACTGCCCTCAGTTGGAAAATTCCACTCATCCAATACAGGGCAGGAGAACCCGCAGAAGCACTCTTCCCCTTTAGATCTTCCTGTCCTCCTTTTGCTAGATGGACTTTTTAGTCCATCTCTTGATGGAACTTCAGAGAGGGCAACAAGGAGGTGGGTAGAAGCGTCTTTGTATCATGGTCTCTTCAGTATCCTCCCTTCTCTGCCCACTGAAATTCCCGTCTTTGCCCTCTCTGGTTGAGTTTCTCAACTTGGAGTTCAGGCATGACAATTCTTTCCATGCTAGCTATGAAAGGATTGGGGAGGGGGTCATATTTCCCCACTTCTGAAGTTGGAGTGCTGACTCTGACCTTGGAGGGGGAATCCTCCATATCCTATGACCTCCCTCAGACAACTGGTTCCCATGTTGTGCGAACAAAAGTAAATTGCCACTATATGCAAAATGATAGCATTCTACTGTGATGCTATCTTTCTTTATCTCTTCCTACTGCTATCATATTACAGTCAAACTTTCTTTTTGAGGAGAATGAGGATTTGGACTTAGTGACTGTGATCTTTATTTGTGAGGAAAGCTGTTAACAGCAAAACTAGTACACGGCTTAGAAAAATTCCGGTTAGAAGGAGCTGTATCTTCTGGTCATTTAAATTTTAAGTGTTTTTTGACCTATTGGATCCTATTACAGAGAAACCTCAAAATGAAAGCAAGCCACATCCAGGACGAGGAAAAACACAGAATGCATGTGATGTACCTTTAATGTCTGCAGAAAAACAGCTTGAATTGAGACTGAGAGATTTTCTTTTGGACATTGAAGACAGAATCTTTCAAGGAACTTTGGGCTCCATTAAGGTATTATTTTCTTTGTATTTTATGGAGATTGGTGTCTGCAGGACTAGCAGATTTTTTGGACTTGGTACAATTTCTTTAAATTGTATTGTTTTTAAAGGTAATGGACAGGCAAACTTGGAGGACAGCATTAGAAAATGGTCAGTATGAGCTGCTGAATGAGGAAAACAAAGAAAATGGTATAATAAAATCATTGACTGAAGATGGAGAGATGGAAATAGATGATCAAGCAAGAGTTATTACAAAAGACAGGTAGTATCTTCAACTTAATTTAGACATATTTTTCAGTTAATATTGGGATGGCTTGCTTGCATTTCATTTTACATTTACTAATTCAACAAAGGATGGTTTCTTTAACTTCTTGACCAAGGCTGCAGTTCTCTGGTCTGCTGAGAAGTTCTGTGGCTACCTTTGTGCTGTGGCAGGAAATTCTAGGTCTCGTTCTCTCTCAACTGCATACATATCCCCTGCAAAATTGAATGAGTACTGCACTGCCTTCCATCCAGTTGTCATTTTCACTTTATATCCAGTTGTTCTCATAACTTGCAAACCTGGCACTCTAAACAACCCAAAGTTTTTTTAGCCCAACAATAAACTATGCGTGAGTGTTGGATTGATTAACTCTAGGTTGTTTAACACTGAACAGTCTAGATTACTGGGTTTCTGTGCCATAACAAAGACCAGAAAAGGGACAGTCCTGGGTTATTTGCAAAGCTGGATGTAAAGCAAAGTGGCAGTTGAGCAGGGGGCAGTGATGTCTAAACCAAGTCACTGAGGCACATGCTTGCGCACTCGTGTGCGCTCGCTCGCTCGCTCGCGCTCTCCCTCTCTCTCTCTATATATATATAGTTGTTGTTAGTCGCAAAGTCGTGTCCGACCCATCGCGACCACATGGACAACATTCCTCCAGGCCTTCCTGTTTTCCACCATCCCCCGGAGTCCGCTTAAGCTCGCACCAACTGCTTCAGTGACTCCATCTAGCCACCTCATTCTCTGCCGTCCCCTTCTTCTTTTGCCATCTATCGTTTCCAGCATTAGGCTCTTCTCCAGGGAGTCCTTCCTTCTCATTAGGTGGCCAAAGTATTTAAGTCAGGGTTGATCTCTTCTAGGACTGACTGGTTTGATCTCCTTGTGGTCCAAGGGACTCACAGGAGTCTCCTCCAGCACCACAATTCAAAGGCCTCAATCCTTCGGTGCTCAGCCTTCCTTATGGTCCAGCTTTCACAGCCATACATTGCATCTCTCTCTCTCTCTCTCTCTCTCTCTCTCTCTCTCTCTCTCTCTATATATATATATATATATATATATATATATATATATATATATAAATAGACACATGTATGCAAATAGACACCCACACAGAGAGTTGAGGCGTGCCTGAGTCGTCAGCATTTTTTCTTTTAATTAAAAGGACGTCTTTTTTTACTTTATTAAATACAGGCATTGTGCCACTCAAACATTCTTCAGATGTTTCTGCCTCTCAAGTGAGCACTGGAGAGGAGGATCTCTTCCCTTGTGCCACTGTGCTGCTTTTTCAGTAGTATGAGCAGCACAGACCAGGGGAAGATTATGGAGAAGGCCAAGCTCCAATGCTATTCAAACTTAACACACAAATCAGCTCTTAAAGGACTGAAAAACTAGAAACCCCCCTACACTGCAGTTAAAGCATTGACATACTTGATATTTGTTTCTCTCAGTCTCCAGAATCCCAGGCTATGGGGCAGAAGCAGTGTTGCTCCCTGGATCACAACTACAGTTTGCCTTTCTTTTCTCCCCACACAAGCCAGTTAGGCTTAATTAAGTGGGCACTGACATGAAAAGCAGCAGTCTGGTAGAACAGCAACACCTCCCCACAGCACCCAAAGGCCATGCTCTGAATGACTAGGGAGAACTAATCATATTGCATATTGGAATGCTAGGCAGATGGTTCCTTGCCAACATTCTCCTTAGAGTCTTTGTAGTTGGGTTTTGCATCCAGAGGATAAGTCATACCAGAAAGCCTCCTGTGCAGCAGCAGGCAGAAGCACAGGACCTGCCAAACATACAGCCCCCAGCTGCTTACACACTTTTGGCCCTGCTGATGCAAGCCATACAGTGTTTAGAAACTGGTGGTTTTTCCACCACTTCTCTTCCTTCCCTCCCCCCTTTTGGGGGGGGGGAGGACTATTTCCTTGCATTGTATAAATGATTTTTAGCATACACATTTCTAAAAACATTCCCTCTAAAAAACATTTTTTTTTCCTTTTGAGAGGGAAAATGGGCACAGTAGTTGTTCTGATTTTGGTATGTGACATAGGCTTTTTAGACAAATGATTTCTTATTGATTAAAAAAACCAGAAGTATGAGTTCAAGAGAATCTTCCATTTCATTCCAAGTTTTTAATGTGATACTTGGCTGTGAAATAAGTGCTTGTAGTTTTGAAGTACCAAAAATATGCACATTATCCGGACTTTTGATCTGCTGCAGTCAAAAGCACCAAGACACATCTCTAAATCTCTGTTTCCTATTATGCAGTTTCTTTATCTATGGAAAATACTAATGCAACTAATGTTTAATGTTATAGTCCTAAAATTAACATTAGTCATTTGGAATTCAAAGAACACAACTATTTTAATACTGATGCTATTTATTGTATAGTTTCCAGCCATTGATGCCCTTTAGACATTTGGAATACAAACCCCAGCATTCCTGATCATTGAGCTGAGGTTAATGGAACTAAAGTCCAGTATATGTACAGGGCATCAAGTTAGGGAAGGCTGATGTATTGTAACTTAGAATGTCCTCAAATATAAAATAGAAGATGGACATTATAATTTAATAATTGTAAGGAACCTTGGAGATAATCTAATTTAGTGGTGGGGTATGTATGTCCTTCTCGTTGGGTTGCAGCTCCCATCTGCCCTAGGCAGTATACTCTAAGGTGAAAGATTATGGGACTTGAGGACCACCATCTGGAGCAACACATTCCCCATCCCAGATCAGACCAATATACCCCATTCCTAATCTACTCTGGCTCGGTGGAAGTTTTGTGATGAAGGATGCAGCTACAAATCAGTTTCTAAACTGAATTGTGTAATATTTGGTGGGCAAAGCAATATGTTAAGGTTTCAGAATTTTATCTGGAAAAAATGAATTTTTTAGATTATAAAAAGGTGAGTATTCTGTAATTCTGATTTTATGGCAATTTGCTTGATGGGATTTCCAAGTGCTCTAGTTCTGTGTATCTTATTTGTGTGTTTATATGTGTATCTGTGTTACTCTTCTGCTATAACCCTAGACTATTTTGGGAAGCTCAAGATAATAGAGTGTAGCTTGATTATTTCTGTGCAAAGTTCTATTTCTATTTTTGATGTAATATTTTAGTGAAAACAGTTTTTATATGGCTGGCTCAGATGGCTTGAGTAGTAGTAGTAGTAATTGTTACTGTTATTATTACTTTTTATACTGCCCATAGCCCAAACCTCTCTGGGCAGTTACAACAATAATCATTGCTTGTATGTATGTATATTTTTGGTGATATTTTGTCAAAGTTGTGTTGACTGCAACATATTGCAGGCATAGGGGATTTGATTTCAAGAACATTAGCTGCTCTGCTGAGATCTCCTTCACACAAAATTTCTTACATATCTCATGCAGTATGAATAAGTACAGAAGTGCACTTTTTTGTCAAATGTACTTATAGTGGGAAGCTGTGAATAATTGCTGGTTCCTGTATCAAAATATGTGTATACCAAATGTGCATAAATGTGTACTTATTGATTATATACTGTTACCTGGATAGAAGGAACTGGAGTAAGAAAATAATCTTGTGCAGAACTGTCATGCTTGTTCTGGCTCTTGGAATACATATGTTTGAGAGGACATTTAATTTTGCAGTTTACGCTCTTTTCAAACCTTTCTCAGGGTGCAAAGCACTTAAAATAAATGAGAATTCCAATTTCATTTGTTTTGATGTAGTTTATGCAGGAGAACTTGCCAATGCATTGTGCCCAGAATCCAGAAGTGTTGATACTATTTTGACTATATAAATTCATTTAGCTATATATATTAATTGTTCATATAGGTGTCCATGTTTGCAATACTATACAAACAAATATCTTAACGCAGAGTTGTGTATATGCTTACTTATGAACTGGAACATTGGAACTTGCAAAGAATGGAATGCTAGTTTGTGAATTTTTTACTTTCCTGCCCTTACCTTCATAAACTGTATTTTATAACTATATTTTTAAACATTTTTATAGATTGATTGGACTCAAACTTGAACCTCGAAGCACTGCTTCAACTAATACGAGCACTCCACAGCCCGTGAATAATGCAGTCCATTACTTGGCATCAGCACTGCTGCAAATACAGCAAGGCACTGAACGCAAATTCCTCAAAGCCCCACTTGGTAAATACCAGCTTCTAGGATGCTGTGCTTACTCAGCTGAACATGATTTATTAAGGAAATAATAGTCCAGGTCCAAAGGGTGTGTGTTAACAGATTGTCTATTTACTATACAAAACAATTTTTTACACTTGGCAACCTGTAAAAATGGAAATGCTCACACTGGAGTTGTTGCTTTTGGGTTAGGTGACCTCTGGGACATAGAAGCAATCGACCTTTCACAAAAGATGGATGGATGGATGGTGCAGAAGTTTTTGTTATGCCCTGAACCCAGGATTCTAAAGTGTTCAGCTTTCAAGTGTTGAAAAGAATAAAAAGGGAAACAGTACTTTCAGGAAACAAATTTTCGTATTGTATTCTGTTTCATGCTATCATCAATAATTTGGAAGAGTACTTACACTTACGTTTGTACTGATACACCCTGCTGAGGCATGTGTCCTATGGTGTAACTCTGAATAAACTTTATTTATGAAATAGAGCCAAAAATATTGAAGTATAGCAAAATATAAAATATTACTTAAAGGACTTCTATGTGACTGGAGTGAAAGTAAAAGCTTCAGTGTTTTCAGCCACACTATTTTATCCTTCTCTCCCTATATCTATGTAATCTGCTTAGTTTTGGAGAAATAGAGTGAGGTTCCTGATGAAAAGTTGCCTTTATTTCCAAACCAAAGTTTGAAATAACTCTATGCATTTAACACTAGGTGATGCAGAACAAAATAAGAGAGACCAAAAAGGAGATAAAAGAAGGAAGAAAGAAGAAGATCAGTCTGGTAAAATATTGACCTTCTATTTGAATATACTTGGAAATTACATTTCACTTTTTATAGATTTATAAGGCATGGCAATCCCCCAGTCACCTTTTTAGCATAACAAATGCAGCTTTGAAGCCTCAAAATCACAACTGAAATTTTTTGAAAAAAGAAGAGCGTACATAAAGAGGTTAAGGATCAAATATTTTACCAAACATTTGCTTTGATTTCCGCATCTTGACCTATGAATTGCACCAAACTTGTATTTCCTTTAATATATATGCAAAAGGACAAGTGCAGATCCCACAGAAATATCTGTGCTTGGATTGATATCCAACCATACAACCTCAAATTAGCTCAGTGCCTTATCCTCCCTCCCTCCCCTCATTAAATATTAGCAAATTTTTCATTTCAAGATTTATTGAAATGATTACCTTCTCCAGGATGAAAGATATAATTGGACACTGTCAAAACATATGAAGGAGAGGAGTATTAGCAGCATTACACCTTAGACAACTGGAAACTTAATTAAGCCCTTATCGAAGAGATGTTGTAGCATCCTACTCATATATACTTGAAGCATCTTTTTTTACTGAATTAAGCATAGTCTCATGAAATAACTGTGAACTTAGTGGCTATTATGGCACAAAGAAACCTGAGAGAGAGATAAGGGAACTTTGAATTACAGTTCATCAGTTTTAGTACCAGGTGAACAGGCTATATGTTAATTAGCTTGCCTAGTGCCAGGGTGTTTATGTTCTCAGTAATAATGGTTATGGGAATGGCTATTATTACTGATGCAGTTGTCAATCTCTAGACTTCCTGCATTTAGTTTCCATCTAGTTTTACTGTTTACAGTTTCTTCCTCCACCCAACTCTGTGTTCTACCTGAAACACTCAAAAACACTTCATGCTTCTGATCAAGAGGACTGTAGTCCATGAGGACTTAGGCCGTAATAAACTGCTGGCCCTGAAGGGCCACACGCCTGTTATTTCTTTTTAAATTAGGTCTCCCTGAATTGTCTTCCCCTAGTCATTTCTTCTAAATTAAAAAGCCTCAAACATTTTAGCCTTTCTTCATATGAAGCATGCCACAAACCTTCATTTTGGTTACCTTTTCTGCATCTTTTCACATCTACAGTATCCTTAAAATAATCTAACTAGAATTTGTATTCTGAATGTGGTTACGCAGCTGACCTATGTAAAGTCACTACAATACAAACCATTTTAGTTTTCACCCCTTTCTAAAACAATCCCCTTTTCACTACTTCTATAAAGAGTTGATTCTTCACTGAGGGCAAGATCTATTTCTTGGAAAGTTACCACCAATTCAGAACCCTCTGATGTATATAGAAATATAGAAAATAGAAACAGAGCGAGTCAGAAGGGGTCTCTTGGGCCATCTAGTCTGACCTCCAGCACCAGCCAGCTCCGCTCACGACATGCTCACCATATGAGGCTAGGATGCCCACTCCCCCCAACCCAGTGAGTATAACTTTATACCCACTTAGACTGGATTTCATTTTCAGTTTTGTTACCCATTTATCCCAACTGGAAAGAGCTGTTCACAGTTCTGAGTAATTTTGGTGGAGTTAGCAAACCTGCCTCACTACTTCAGATATTTAAATAATGTTCTCCAATTAATATATGTGAGGAATTCCATTCCTTACTTATCTCGACTGGGAGAATTGTCCATCTGTTCCTACTCTCTACCTCCTGTTCTTTAAACAGGTTCTGATTCATAAGAGGGTCTGTCATCCTAATCCAGTGACTAAGTTTAGCCTCTGAGAGACTTCATTAAAAATGTTTTGGGAGTTCAAATGTTCCATGATTATTAGAGATTTCCCCCTTCCCCCTCTTCCCACCCCACTTCCCTCCATCGGTGTGTGGGTTGATACACAGATAATTCACAATGGACAGTTAAGCATAAATTCCTTTTGTAAAAGCCAGTGTGATTCTATTTTAGCAGTGCTGGTTTGGTTTTGTTTTGCTTTTTGTCACACTGGTTGTGCCAGAACTTGAACATTTCACTCTATGAGGAATGGGATAAGTGTATAGAATATAGAATGTAACAATGCTTTTCTTCTCTTTCTTTCCAAGACACAAATGATGGTGGTCGTTTACATAAAACAGTCCTGGATCGCTGGAGGGAATCACTGCTTTCTTCTGCTAGCCTGTCCCAAATCTTCCTTCACCTCTCAACACTGGAACGAAGTATAATCTGGTCAAAATCCATCCTTAATGCTCGCTGCAAAATGTGCAGAAAGAAAGGAGATGCTGAAAGCATGGTGCTGTGTGATAGCTGTGATCGAGGCTATCATATCTACTGTATAAGGCCAAAGCTCAAGGTAACTAGGAATTTTATTTTTGAAATACAATATATATATATTACAGAATATTTACATATTTTATCTTAAATAGTGATTATATTTTATTAATGGATGCTGGTTCTCTGTCAGGCTGTTCCTGATGGAGATTGGTTTTGTCCAGAATGTCGACCAAAGCAGCGTTCTAGGCGCCTCTCATCCCGACAAAGGCCTTCTGTGGAAAGTGATGAAGAGGCAGAAGAACAGATTGAAGATGATGATGATGAAACCAGTTATGAGGAAATTGGACAAAGTGAGGAAGATGATTATGAAGAGGAAGATGATGGAGATAACTCTGATTCTCAAGAAGATGATGAAAAAAGGTAAATTGGGAATTAAGTTAATCCTATGCAAAAGCTGCATTAAAAATTCCTGTATCCACAGGGACATCTCCATTGAGCTCAGTAGCAGAGGATAATCAGTCAACAAGTCACATATAAAACAAACATTGAAACAGGCAAGAGAAACCACTCCCAAAATAGTTCCGTATAATTTGTACAGAATCTTGATCTTATAACTATTTAATGTATTTTAAAAGTGCTCTGTATTTAAGATGCCCTGATCTACTTTTAGATACTTGTAATTTGGAGCAATACTAAATTAGATGGTCCATTGCTCTGACTCAATATAGGGAGCTTCCTAGGTTGAGCAGCACCTGGATGCATAAAGATAGGATGAATTCTCTGACATGTAACCCTTATCTGTCAAGCAGCTTTTAATTTTCAGTTTTCAGTAGTGGTTAAGAACATGGGACTAGGACTCAGATGATCTAAGTTCTAGTCCCCACTCAATCATGGAGCTAACTGGGGTCACAGACTCTTTGCCCTCACAGGGTTGTTGCTGTAGGGATAATATTAGGAGTAGTAGGAGGAGAATTATGTAAGGCACTTTAAGCTTTCTGCATGAAAAAGTAGAATATAAATCAAATAAATATATTGCCATTTTAGAATTGCTAATCTGATGGCTATGAAATGTCTGATGCAAGTCTTCTTCCACCAAGTAAACTAATAACTGTCTGGATGTTTTCAACATGTTTAGTAAGGCTGTTGTCATTCACCTATTTCCTTACAGAAGTATTGCCTTGCAGAAGTATTTACCCCACCTTTGACTTTCCCACATTTTGTTGTTGCAAGCTGACATTGAAATAGATTCCATTGGCATTGATATCACTTGATAGACATAGGATAACAATACAACAATAACAATTCTGTAAGATGCTGCAAATGGTGCATCTAGCTGGAAAGGTGGAACATGGTGGTTGGTTGTTCTGCACACAACCCACAGTTTGCCCGACAGATGAACATGTCCATCATGAGTTACTTGCAAAAAAAAAAAAATCACCACTGACAGCCACTCCCAAGGTGCTTTAGGCACTTTCAAGGGGCTGGCCTAGCTGTCAAAATGGAGATCATAATCTGCTGTCAAGCCAGATTTTTTGATCTCAGGAAAAAATGGATAAAGGAATAACATAGAGACAGAGCAAGTCAGAAGGGTCCTCGTGGGCCATCTAGTCTGGTCCCTGGCTCCAGCCGGCTCCATTCATGACATGCACACCATGTGCATGTCTAGCCTATCATTGAACATCCTCACCGATGGGGCCTCAACCACCTCCCGTGGAAGTCCATTCCATACCCTCGGGGTCCTAACTGTCAGGAAGTGCTTCCTGGCATCTAAATGGAACCTTGGTTCCCTGAGCTTTGCTCTGTTGGAGCGCGTCCTGCCTTCCTGTGCAGGGGAGAACAGGTCTCTACCCATCTCCATGTGACATCCCCTCACATTCCTGTATTCCTCTCTGGGCTGAAGAGACCCAGTTCCCTCAGTCTCGCCTCATACGGCATCCCCTGCAAACCAGCCACCAACCTTTTGGCCCTATGCTGCAGTCACTCTAACCTGGCTATATCCTTCCTGTAATGAGGGGCCCAAAACTGAACCCAGTACTCCAGTTGTGGGCACACCATAGTCGTATAGAGTGGTAGTAATACCTCTCTCGATCTAGAAGCCACACTTCTGGCTATGGAACCAAGGGTGGCGTTCGCCTTCTTAACCACTGCATCACACTGCTGACTCATGTTTAGCCTGCAGTCAACAAGTACCCCAAGGTCCCTTTCACAAGTGCTGCTCTCCAGCCACTTGTCACCTAACCTGTACTTATGACACCTATTCCTATGCCCCAAGTGCAAGACCTTGCACTTATCCACATTGAACGCCATCCTGTTGTCTCCTGCCCACTTCCATAGTCCAGATCCTTTTGGATCTGGAGTACCTGCTCCTCAGTTGTGGCCACTGCCCCCATCATGTCATTGATGAAAAGATTAAACAGGATCAGCCCCAGGACAGAGTGCTGGGGGACCCTGCTTGTTACTGGCCATCATCCCGATGATTCCCCACTAATGGTTACTCTCTGCTTTCAGTCAGTCAACCATGCCCCAATCCATCAGACAGTGCTTTGGTCTATCCCCAAACTCCTCAGTTTCTCAGCCAGGATACTGTGGGGCACTTTGTCAAAGGCCTTGCTGAAATCCAGGTAAACCACATCCAATGCATCCCCTCCATCTAGCCACTTCGAAACCTTGTCATAGAATTCCACAAGGTTTGTCTGGCAGGACCTGTTATTGTGGAAGCCATGTTGTGTGGCTGCCAGCCTCCCTTCCCTATCTAGCATCACTAGATCTCTCACTATTATGAGCCTTTCCATTGCTTTTCCTACAATGGACGTAAGGCTAACTGGTCTGTAATTCCCCATGTCCCTTCCACTACCCTTTTTGAAAATTGGGACCACTGACACCACCCTCCAGTCCTCTGGAACTTCACCTGTTCTCCACGAGGCCTCAAAAATGGAGGCCAGTGGGTGTGAGAGAACCCCTGCCAACTCTTAAGTACTCTTAGGTGTAACTCGTCAGGGCCTGGCACCTTTGTAACATCCAATGCCCTGAGGAGCCCCTCAACTTCTAGGGGGGTGACTCTAAACTGTGTCCCTAAGTCCCCAGCCTCATCTAACCTCCCCCGTGGATCTCCCCCGACCTGCTTTGGGGAGAACACAGAGGCAAAACAGTCATTTAGAATCTGTGCCTGTTCCCTTGTATCAGTCACTGGATCTCCTTCCTCCTTAATTAGCAGTCCCACTACTTGTCTCCCCTTCCTCTTCCTATTTACATGCTGATAAGAAGCCCTTTTTGTTGCTTTTGATATTCTTTGCAAGTCTCAGCTCATAATCAGCCTTAGCCTTGCAAAGAATCCTTCTGTAACGGGCCTCCCCCTCCCGGTATACCCTTTTGTCTATTTGCCCCAGTACCCATTTCCTACAGAGGTTCCTCTTGTGTCTAATCCCTCTAGCCACCTCCTTTTGCATCCATGGCGGTGCTCTCCTTCACCTCCCCACCTTACTAACTAGAGGTATCGGCAAGGCTTGCACCTCCAAAATCTCCCCTTTGAGTGCCATCCACCCCTCCTCAACTCGCTTACCTTCCAGTAACCTATCCCAGGAGACTTTCCCCAGTCTGGCCTTCAGTTGGCCAAAGTTGGCCCTCTTGAAGTCCCAGCTTCTAGTGCTCGACCTGCTGCACGTCTCCAGTCCCCTGATCTCAAAGCAAAGGATGGAGTGATCACTCGCATCCAGAACTCCCCTAATCTGTACTTCATCTGTCAGCTCCTCCCTGTTGGTCAAGACCAAGTCAAGGATGTTCCCCCCCCCCCCGTCACTTCTCGGACCCTCTGTGTGAAAAACCCTCCCTCTATAGCTTCTATGAAGCGACATGACCTGGCTGTCACTGCTGAGTGAGTCTCCCAACTGATATCTAGGAGACTGCAATCTCCCATGATTACTGTGTCCCTCCCCGGAGATATCCTTAGAATCTGGTCTGTCAGGCCATCATCCAGGGCCTCAAGTTGACCTGGAGGGCAATAACATACCCCCACTCTCAGGTCCCTTTCCCTGTCAAAACCCCCAAGTTTCACCCAGACTGCCTCCACCGAATCCCCATCTGTGCTGCATTCTATCCTATCCCTTCCCTGACATATAAAGCTAGGCCCCCACCCCTCTTTCCCTTCCTGTCCTTTCTAAAAAGGTGATACCCCTCCAGTCTTGCCTTTCATCCCACCAAGTTTCTGTGATTCCCACCAGGTCATACCCTCCTATTCCCAGGAGAGCTTCAAGCTCTTCCTGCTTATTACCCCTGCTCCTAGCATTGGTGCACATGCACCTCAACTCCTTCCCACCACTTCCTTTCCTTGGAGTCCCCAGCTGCCTCCTTCCTCCCATCTTCCCTGATACGTGGCCTCTCTTTGTAGGAGTCCTGTCAGTCCCTGCAGTACCTCCTGCTCCCAGAGCCCTGAGCCTCTCCCCACACTTGTCCAGTGCGGACAAGTTTCTGGGGAGCCTGCACCCCCCCCCCCGGCTCAGTTTAAAGTCTTCTGGACAAAGCTTGCTAGAGCATCTCCAAAGGACCTTTTCCCCATCCTCGTGAGGTGCAACCCGTCCCTTGCCAGAAGTTCATTGGCAAGAAACTGGGTGCTGTGGTCAAGGAACCCAAAGTGTTCCTTCTGGGACCACACCCTAAGCCAGTCGTTCACCTCGGCGGCCCTCCTATCACTGCCTGGCCCAAATCCCTAGACCAGTAAGATCAATGAGAAGGCCATTTGGGCCTTAAGGTCCCTGAGTTTCTTCCCCAAGGCCTTGCAGTCCCTGGTGATCCAGCCCACACCCTGCCTGGCCACGTCATTTGTGCCCACATATATCACCAGAAGAATAAAAAGCCACAACAAGCCAAACATTGCTTGTGGTCATGCTAGGGAGGGCAGCAAGCAGTACCAGTTATCCTTAAGTGCTGCTCGGACACTTGTGGGTCAGCAGACACTGGCAAGTGCCCAGGTGAGCCTGGCAACAACAGCAGGGATTTTTTGCTACTCTTGCCAAGCCACTTACTAGCCAATTCTTGGTACCCATGATGGGGTCTGTCACCTGGGTCTGGTCAACGTAACAGCCTACCATGGGTGCAACAACCCATGCATTGTCAGCATAGTTTGTTATCCTCAAACCACTCTGCAGGAATCAGATTGGGATGACATAACACAATAACCCATCATGGGTAACAACTTTCAATGGGTTCTCATGTCACATGAATCCAGTCACTGTTTATATTGAAGGACAGTATATACATTTGAAAAATGAGGAACAGAAACTAGTGATGCAAATATAATCCATTTTTACAAGGCTTAACTGAATTTATCTGGAAATCTGTGATACAAGTCGAAATTGAGTATTGAATTTGCAGTTTTAAAGAAAGAAAAAGATTAAAGAAGTTGCTTGTAACACAGACTTCATACTTCTTGCAGCTTATCCAAATCAAGAAAACCTCAGGTAAAACTTTCCTTAAGAACAAGAGCTGCAAAACTTACCACTACCATCTCAAGTCAATGTATCCAACGGCAGGGTCCTGGAAGATACAGTTCTCGAAGTCAGCAGAATACACCAAAACAAACTGGATCTTTATGTAAAACAGCTGGGAAGGGTGTAAGAAAGACAAGGTCTGCACCTTCATCTGTAACAAAATCCTCAAGACTTAATAGTCGTACTACTCGTCACAGTCGAGGCTTGCTACAAGCAGATGCATTTATAGAGTTAATGAGTCCCCGAAGACAACGCAGAGGGAGAAAGACAGCAGACAGTACTCCAGATAGCAGTCCTGCCAGTAATCTTGGCTTCAGAATTGTTGATACTATGGACTCAAGCAAACAGATAAGCCCTCCATGTTCTATAGTACAAAATTCTCCTCAAGAATCTGAGCCTAAAAGGAGGGGTAGGAAACGGCAATCTACAGGTAAGCTGACTCCTTTAATTAAAATAACATTGGCTGCTCATTTGGGTGAACAGCTGCCTAGTTCATTATTTCTCCCCTTCCCATTGTTAAGGGGGATGTGTGCATTTGGGCTGCCTGAAATATTGTTTCTTCAAAGATGACGTTGCAGCTCCATGCTCCTCCTGCTTAATGGAGGAGGAAGGAAGCATATTGTGAAGCAAGCAAACTCTAGGGTCTATAAGTAGCTGTAAATGACTAATGAAGCCACATACTGGTGAGAACGATTTGCCTGGAAGAGAGAACTATATTTGTAACTGCTTTGGTGAAATGATGGGCAGAAATAATTGATTGTTCATGTCATATCTTATGTTGACTCAAGTTTCCTGATCATTTTTCTCCTTTACACTGAAATTGAAGCAAGATGCTTTGGCTAAAGGGGAGCAGTCATTATTCTGTACTTAGTGCAAGTTTTCATTGTAAAATAGCTTTTTCTTCGCCATCTCCCAATATTCCATTTGAACAAAATGTCCAGTTGTATAAATAATGAAGTCTTTGATGGTTGTCTTCTTTGCAGGACACTTGTCTAAATTTCTTCTCCTTGCTTACAGCACTTGAGATGTGATTGTGCTAGTAAATTACCAGTAAACAAAATCATATGGTTTTCATATTGCTTCAATGTATTAACTTTCCTTAATATGTTCTTATATCCTCAGCAGTATATAATAAATAGTTCTGTGGTCCCATCTCTTCCAGAACCCTCTCAAATGCCACTGAATAGGAGAAGTTCAGGACGCCAGGGTGGAGTCCATGAACTGTCTGCTTTTGAGCAGCTTGTTGTGGAACTGGTGCGTCATGATGACAGCTGGCCTTTTATGAAGCTAGTCTCCAAAATCCAGGTAACTAGGCTAGTTTTATAGGAGTAAAAATTGGATTTGAAAACTGATATTTATTGGCAATCCAGGGACAATCACAAAGAAGGAGAATGGCATACTGTTAAATAATGTTTGCTAATTAACTTGTTATGTAATAACGGGACATGCCTGGTATCTACTCAATAAAGACACTGATGGACATTTGATGGAATGCTTGTACAGTATCTGGGCTAATGTACTAGTGATGTTAATATCATAAGACTTGCTTTTTAATTGGTTCATGAGTGCTAGGATAAGAGATGAATGGCACAAAATTCTAGTACAATTTATTTCAAAATTAAACTACTGTAGCTCTTACTTTATTCCTTCCTTCCAGGAGTCATAAGGTTAGACTGAGTCATTTAAGATCAATCCTGCAGGTAGAGGGCAATGTTGCTGCAAGAATTGCAAAGAGAATGTTAACTGTAGGAAAGAACTTTGTTTGTATTCTTCACAGAAGACTCATTAATTAGTATAGAAAATGCGTTCGGCTGTTCATTTGTCTGTTCTTGATCACATCATATTTCCACATCATACAGATTAGATCTTTTTCATTATTTTGAAAAAGTATGCAATGTTGAAATAATAGTATTTATTAGTGTTGCTTTGGAAAGAGAAGTTCCTAAAATGCAAACTTTGGTTGCTTTGGACTAATACAGTCAAAGCAAAAATAGGGAAAATCTCCAGGTGAGCTATTTGAAATTAGAAAGTACATAAGTTCATAAATTATGTACATCAGAACATAATTTTATACTTCCTCATTAGAAAACTTAGAAAACAGAAACAGTGCCAAACCATATCTTACATAACATCCCTGAAGAATGTATAGTCTGCATAAAGAACAGAATTGCATTGCTCAGCTTAATTGACCATGAGCTAGAAGAACTGTGGACTGAAATCAGCGACACTGTTAGAAATGACTGCCAAAATACTCACCTATATGGATGACAGCAGAAACAGTTGCAAAGGACAGATGAGAAGCAAAAGCAAAAGGTGATGGGTCAGAAACATGAATGTAACTTTTCAGCAAATATCACATAGAGACAAAAATAACTATTACAATAATCAGTGCAAATAGAAGAGAGCAACAAAGAAGAATGACAAAAGACCTCTTTTAAAAGATCCAAGAAATTAAAGGGAAAGTCAAACTTAGATTAGGAATGCAAAAAAGACAGAATAGGGAACTTGCTATCTGACCAGGAGAAAATAAAGAGAAGGTGAAAGAATATACAGAAGAACTATACGGAAGTGGTGAAAGGATGACAGACTTCTTTGAAGCAGAATCCTATAAAGCAGAGCCTGCAATATTAAAAAGGGAAGTGAAAGCAGATCTGAAAGCACTTGCAAAGAATATAGTACTTGAAGTAGATAAGATACCAATAGAACTATTCTCAGCTGCAGAAACTGAATCCATCTAAAACGGGTGGGCAATTAATTTTCCTATGGGGCCACATGAGAAACTGACAGTTGTTAAGGGTCGGACCAATACACTTACAGCTCTGCTCAATATATATCTCTATAAAAACAGTAAATGAAACATTACAATGATACAATGAAAATGTGGAGCACAGAACAACACTAAAGAATATTCACAAAAACATTAACACTAACATTACATGAAAAGCAATAAATTCAATTCAGTTCATCACATCCTTCAAAATAAAAGCAGTGCAGTTATATTGCTTGCATCTATATTACGATGATATATATATTTGCACTGATTTTTAATTTGCCAGTGACCTCATGCGGGCCAGTCAGGGTCAGCCATCGGGCCGGATGTGGCCCGCAGGCCGTACAATGCCCAGGTCTGATCTAAAACCTAACAAGAATATTCCAGCAAATATGGAAAACAAAACAAGGACCCATACACTGGAAAAGTTCGATTAGTGGTACCTTGGCTCACAAACTTAATCCATTTCAGGACTCTAGTCGTGAGCCAAATTGGTCATGAGCCAAGTCAAATTTCCCCATAAGGGTCAATGTAAATAAGGTTAATCCATTCTGCAACTATTTTTTTTTACTCCCAAAAATTTGAAGCAAAGTGACAACAACAAAGATCACGGCCATCTCCCTCCCCCCAGCAATCATGCAGGGGGGTGGGGGGGGGAGATGTGCATGATCACGGATGTGCTGGGGGGGAGGCAGGCGCAATCGTGACCATCTCCCCCCCCCCAGCGCAACCGTGACCGTGCATCATGAGAAGCTATGGATGGTCCTGAAAAAAATGGACATGCCTCAGCGCTTGATTGTCCTGATGTGTAAACTATATCATGGAGAGGAAGCTACAGTTAGGGACACTATAGAGAAACAGAATGGTTTCCCATAGACAAAGGTGTCAAACAAAGATTTATTTTATCTCTTAACATACAAGTTCAAACTGTATGTAGAACATCTCATAAGGAAAACTGGATTTGAAAATTGATGTAAGATGGGCAGATAATACTATATTACTGGCAGAAAGCAGCAGTGACTTTAAATGACTCCTAATGAAAGTGAAAAAAGAAAGTACAAAAGCAGGACTGCAATCAAATTTTAAGAAGACAAAAGTCATGCTTACAGAATTACAGAACTTTCTGTTACTATTGAAGAAATCTAAACTGTGAAAGATTTCACATACCTTGGCTCAGTCTGAATTGGTGACTGCAGCCAAGAAATTAAAAGAAGACTGCTGGAGGAGAGTTCTGTGAATACTCTGGACTGACCCACAAACAACTGGTCCTAGATCAAATCAAGGCAGGGCTTTCCCAAGAAGCAAAAATGACAAAACTGAGGCTGTCATTACTTGGGATTCATCATGAGAAGGCAGACTCCCTAGAACGGACAGTCCTGTTGGGGAAAGTTGAAGGCACCAGACAAAAGCAAAGACTAAACATGAAAAGGATTGAATCTATAAAGGAAGCCACAGCCTTGAACTCAAGATTGCTGAATAGAGCTGTCATGGACAGGACATTTTGGATGGCTTTCATAGGGTCGCCACTAGTCAGGCATGACTTGTTGGTACATTACTACAATTAGAAAACAAGCTTCATCTATCAGCCTGTTCACAAGAGATGATGAACTAGAATTACATAAAATATATCCATTGTCATTGATTACTGATTACTATGCTAGTAAGTCTTGGGAAAGCAAGTGAACAGGTCTACCAGTTCTGAAGAAGACCTCTTGAACCATATGATTTAGTATCCTAGTAATTAGACAAAGTTTTCATGATTTTATAAGTAGTCTCTCTTGTATTTTCATTACAATGCTACGATTATAATTAAACACTAATTAACCTTTTCTTACTCATATGCAGGTACCAGACTACTATGATATCATAAAAAGACCTATTGCCTTAAATATAATCCGTGAAAAAGTGAACAAATGTGAATACAAATTAGCCTGTAAGTAAAACTGATTAATCCTATTATTATTAAAACCCAGTTTTATTTATGTAGCAAGTCAGTGATTTTAGGCTAATGAACATTATTCCCAAACCTCCACTGCATTATGAACACTTGATGTTCAGAATATTGCACTCTTAGGCAGAATTTACTTTTAGGTAAAATGGTGGAACACATAGTTCTATCCAGACACAAATAGGATATCACACAGGTGAGTTACTTGTGTAGGAACCACGAGATTGTACATAATGAGATTGTACATACAGAATTTGAGATATTTGTATTTTTTCCTTCTAGCGGAATTCATTGAAGACATTGAGCTGATGTTTTCAAACTGTTTTGAGTATAACCAGCGCAATACAAGTGAAGCAAAGGCTGGGACAAGACTGCAGGCATTTTTCCATATTCAGGCTCAAAAGCTTGGACTTCCTATTGCATCTGGTTGCATGGGCCATACTGCTCCAGCATCCAAGAAGACCCGAATCTAATTTCTTCCTTCTAAAGGACTTGAATGAGAGAAATCGTCTATATTTTCATGGAAAATGAAACACTTAAATCATGCAGCCATAGAAAGCAATAACATCTGCCACACTTTGGAAGTGTGGCCTGCACTATGTTTTCAATTTATTAAGCACTCAGGAGATTGTTGGAAAGATTATCTTTGCTAGAGTTTCGTTCCATGTCTAATAATTTTGATAGATGAGTATTGAATACAGTACTGGTTTACAGTAGTTTTTGTACTTTTAAAGAGCATTTTTGTGTCCAAATGCCTTCCAGAAATATTTTTCTTCAGCATCAAAAGATATTGTCATACGTTTTAGTTTTTGTAGAATGTGACATAGTTTTGTGAGGATTCTACCTAAGCTAAATCATCTGCAACACAGAGGGCAAGTGAAATGCCTGAAGTCACTTGAGCACAAGTCTTTGACACTACGTGAATTAGTACAATTTTATATCTTTTAAATTACTGTGCCAGAACTGGTTGAAAAGATTTGGTATGTCTTTATTAAGTAGATATTTATTTAGCATTCAAATAACTTGTGAATTTGTTTTTGTATTTATAAAATTTTTACTTTGAGGATAAAGAATTCCTTAACTTTCTGGGTTTTTTGTGTGTGTTATGTTTATACCTTGATGATCAGTTACTTGTCCTCTTTCTACATGGCAGTTCTTCCAGTAAAAGTAACTTACAGAACTGTATGTTTATTTGTACAACTTTTGAGTGTAAAAATAAAATAAAATGAAACTTATTCAAAGTACTACTTTCTTCTTTGTATATTAGTGGATGTTCCATTCCAAGGAGAACCTGCAACTAATGGAAGAATTTATCCCTAATAATATCAACAGCATCTCTTAAATGATGTGAGAGGTCTTAAAACTTGTTTGTTTGTTTGTTTTTGTAAGTGGCACATTAGACAGCCTGCCAGTGGCTCACAAAAATGTGTTTTAAAAATTAGCCATACTTAGCCATAGTACCATAAATTAGTAAATATTAATACTCAAATGAGTCAGAATCCATTGGGATGCCTGCCATTAAAGTGCAACAGGTACCAACAATGAGCACTGGCTTGAAGTTCCCAATCAAGTTTTTCATTCCTTTGCTTTCTCTTTTAGCTGTCAAAAGGTGAGCTATCCAGGCAAACCCCCCAAAGAATTAGTTATCTTTGCTCATGAAAAGAGGAGTGATGGGATTTATACCCCCTTCTTGACAGGACCTGATCTTTTTACCTTCATGGACTGCACTATCCAAAAGGTGCTCTCACTTTTCCACTTGCCCCTAAGACACTAAGTGCTTGGGGATATTGAAAATTACAAGCTGCACATGTTTTTTACAGCTGTCAAACTCCAATTCCTTTCTAGAGGATTTATTTTTTTGACAGAGTTCCTTATTCTATCATTTTAATCATTTTTATTGTGAATTTCAAAAAAAAACCATAAGGAGAATTTTTTCTTAAATGAACTGAATCACTGAGAATCAGGCATTCCAAATACTGTTGGAAAGTTTAGCATTTTAGTGAGCATACTAATGTGGAAGGGTGTGGTCCTCAACTCATTGATCACCCCCCAGCTGGCAATATATTTAGGAGCTGTTGAACAAGAATATCCAACTGCCTCTTTACTACATTCCTGTAGCTGAAATCAACATCAGGCTAACTATAAAGAGCCAGGTCTGGGTCTCTCAGGTCTTTCTTTTCTTCTTCTGTTTTCAACTTTCCCTAGCATGATTGTCTTCTTCAGTGAATCTTGCCTTCTCATGAGGTGCCTGAAGTACAACAGTTTCAGTTTTGTCATTTTTGCTTCCAAGCAAAGTTCCAGGTTGATTTGATCCACTTATTTAAATTTTTACCCATCAAGGGTGTTTGCAAAGCCCTCCTCTAGCACCATGTTTCAAAGGCATAAATGTTCTTCCTGTCAGCTTTCTGCACTGTCCAACTTTCACACCATACATAGTGATGGGAATCCAATCATGTGAATGATCTTGACCTTGTTCTCCAGTGAAATGTCCTTACATTTAATGATATTTTCTAGTTCCTTCATAAGTGCTCTTCCAAGTTTCAATCTTCTTCAAATTTCATGGCTGCAGTCTCCATTTTGATTGATGGAGAACTTGGCCCCAAAACTAACTTAGTGATACAAGTATGTTATCAACCCCCAGACCAGAATGCTCAGGGTGATCTTGGCATGAGAAGTGAAATCGGGGAGGCCTCCAACAAAGGCAGTACTGTAATAATGAGGGACTTCAAATACCCACCCATTGACTGGAAAAATGCATGTACCAGTTCAGACAGAGGTTAAATTTCTCACTATCATAAATGTGCCCTAGAGCAGTTGGTCATGGAACTAATCAGTGAGGAGACAGTCTTGGGTTTAGTTCTAGATGAGATTGCCCAGGACAGAATGTAAATATTGTTGCGCCATTAGGTGAGGGAACTGATAAAGAAGCTGAAGAGGGGCCTCAAGAAGTTTAAATGGCTTCAAAGTGCTTGGCGATTATTCAAAAACACTATAATAAAGTTATAGATAGTATGCATACCACAAGTAAGAAAAGGTAGCACAAAGTCCAGGAAATCACAAGCATAGTTAATACACAGGGTCAAGGAAGCTACTAGTGAAAAGAAAGCTTCCATTTGGGCAAGTAGAAGTCTTGCCCAAATGACAAGAACAGACAGGACCACAAGCTTGCACAAGGGAGATGGAAGTAGGCAATCAGAGAAGCAAAAAAGCAGTTTGAGAAGCACATCTCTAACAATACCAAGGCTAACAATAAATTATTTAAATATATCAAAAGAAAGAAAGTGGCTCATAAGCAGTTGAGCCATTGGACAATAATGGAATTAGAGGAGCACTAAGGACAGGTGGTGCTGTGCTGCTGGGCTGGTTGATCAAAAGGTCGCCAGTTCGAATCTGCACAACGGGGTGAGTTCTCGTTGCTCCATCCCAGCTCCTGCCAACCTTGCAGTTTGAAAGCATGCAAATGCAAATAAATAAAAAGGTACCACTTTGGTGGGAAGGTAACAGCATTCCGTGCACTTTGGTGTTTAGTCATGCCGGCCACATGACCATGGAGACTGTCCGTGGACAAACACTGGCTCCCTCAGCTAGGAAACGGAGATGAGCACCACTCCCTAAAGTCAGACATGACTGGATTTTAATGTCAAAGGGAAACCTTTACCTTTAAGGGCAGGAGATGAGGAGATGGTAGAAAAGCTGAATGTGTTCATCAGTGTTCACCACAGAGGATGAAGAGCAAATGCTTGCCCCTAGGTTTATGCATTCTGGATGGATGTCTAAAGAATTACGAGGGGCGTTCAATGTATTCTCGGTATCAGCATGAAGAAAAAGGAATAGTAAATTGAAATAATTTTTATTTTTCAATGTAATCCCCCATAACTTCAATACACTTATTACATCTAGAAATTAACTTTTCAATTCACTGTATAAAATAACCTTCCTCCCTGCCTAAAAAATGTGCGTTAATTGCCACCTTGAGCTCTTCATCATCAGAAAATCGCTTTCTACAAAGATCTTTTTTAAAATTCAGGAATAGGTAGTAGTCACTGGGGTCCAGGTCCAGGCTATAGGGTGGGAGGTTTATTTCTTCGAAACCACAGTCTCGCACAGCAGCCTTCGAAACACGCGCTGTGTGACCGGGTGCATTGTCGTGAAGAAGCAACACACCTGCGGTCAGTCTTCCCTGCCTTTTTTCTTTAATTGCTTCTCTTAAATTACACAGAGTGCTTGCGTAAGATGCTGCGTTTATGTTTCACCTTTTTTTCATGTACTCGATCAATAAATTCCCTTTGAGTCCCAAAACACTGTGGCCATGATTTTTCCGTCCGATGGAGTGACTTTGAATTTCTTCAGAGGGTCAGCACCTTTTTTATGCCACTGCATGGACTCCTGCTTGCTTTCAGGGTCATAGTGATGAACCCAAGTTTCATCTCCAGTAACAATCCGGTCGAAAATATTCGATGGATCTTCACCACAGAGCTCTAAAAATTCCCTACAGCACTTGACTTGCACTTGTTTCTGAGGCGCCATGAGCATTCGCAGCATCCATCTTGTACAGACCTTTGAAAGGTTAAGATGGACATGAAAAATAGTAAATATGGTACCAACTGATAGGTTTGTCATCTCTGCTAACATTTTGATTTTTATTCGGGCATCTTCCAATACAAGTTTCTTATTTTTTTTCACATTTTCTTTCATAGTGGCAGTAAGCAGCCCGCCTGAGTGAGGGTCGTCTTCAGTGCTTTCTCTGCCCCTTTTAAATTCATTTGACCACTTTTGAACAGTAGATAATGAAGGTGCAGAGTCCTGGTAAACGGCTACCTTCTCTTTGTGAATGATTTTTTGACATTTTCCTTGTTTTGTAAGGAACTTAATCACAGCGTGGTGCTCGATTTTCTTCAACATTGTCGCCTCAGTCATTATGGTTGTCTTTCACTGAGGATTACTAGGGAACTAATGATCACACTTATTTGAAATTTTGCATGTATACCCTCAGACAGTGTCATATAATGAAATAATTAAATTACCCACATCAATAGCAAATCAACCCGATACCGAGAATACACTGAACGCCCCTCATAAACTACCTAGTACAGTGGTACCTCGGCTCATGAACACCTCAGTTCACAACCAGATCGGGTTGCAAACAGACATTTCATAAAAATTTTGCTGCAGGTTGTGAACTCTGCATCAGGTGATGATCACAAGCACACCTGCCTTCCCTGCATGGGTGCGATTGTGGTCGTATGGGGGGGGGTGATGGCCACATTCGTGCTGGGGGGGAGATGGCCATGATTGCACCTGTGTTCCCTGGCCAAGCATGCCCATGCCTGCCTCCCCCCCAGCGCACCCGCGCCTGTCTTCCCCCCACATGAGCACGCACCTGATCACACCCATCTCCCCCCCCAAGCATGATCACGGCCATCTCCCGCCACCCCCAGCATGATCGCTATGGCACGATTATGGTTTGGACTCTCCCTCCAAACAATAACCTCCCCCACCACCTAGGTTAGTGTTCTCTACTGGTTTGTTACTTCGTTGTTTGTCACTTTGCTTCAAATTTTTGTGAGTAAAAAAAAAAAATAGTTGCAAAACAGATTAACCTTATTTACATTGAACTTTATGGGGAAATTTGACTTGGCTCACGACCAATTTGGGTCACGACCAGAGTTCTGGAACAGATTAAGTTCGTGAGCCAAGGTACCACTGTAGTAACAAAGGATGAAATTCTCAACTCCAATTCCAGATGGTATCCATACTAGCATTACCAAAGAACTCAAACATGAAATTGCTGACCTTCTAACTTAAATGTTTTAACAAGTTCCTAAAATTAGCCCTTGTACTGGAGAATGGCCAATATAACACCATTTTTTAAAAGGGATCCAGGTGGAACCAGGAAATTACAGGTCAGTTAGCTTAACATCTATTCTGGGTAAACCACTTGAAAGCATCATTAAAGAATCAGTAAGCACAAAGGGACAAGCCCTGCTAAAAATAATCAGCATGGCTTCCACAGAGGAAGTCTTGTCTCACTAACCTACTGGTGTTCTTTGAGAGCATCAATAAACACATACACAAGGGCAATCTAGTAGATGTTGCTTGCTTGGACTTCCAAAAGGCTTCTGACAAAAGTCCCTCAACAAAGACTCCTGAGCAAAACTAAGCAGCCATGGAATAAAAGAGCAGAAAACAGAGGGTGGGAATACATAGCAACTTCTCCCAATGGAGGTATGTAACC